CACCAGTTTAAAATCAGGCCAGTCTGCTTGATCATCTGTGAGAAAAATTCTTTGAATTTGTAAAGTGCACACAAAAACATTGTTAATAAATGCAGCCTTATTCCATAGATCCTAATGCCTAGACTACATATAGTTTTAGATTACAGTTAAAGATTCTAAATTTCAAATTATCTTCAATTTAGATTTTATCATTACAAGCATATTTTGCAGATGGCAGGCACTTTCTTATAAGTGAATTTTAGTTTAGTGATGATGATATTCATGGTAAATTACTTAGAAATTCTTAAATTAATGAGAAATTATTTTGAGCCAGATCAGTAAATCCAGGGTTTGGTGGTTTGATCCTTGGGCATGGCGAAATTGCTCTGTGACAATTTTAGTTTAACGGTTATTTGTTGCTCAACACGGATTTAGAATTTGATGTGGGATTTGGGCTAGGTCATTTACGGGAATTAAGCAATTACTGTTAGTTATCCTGGAAATCACTGGCTAGAGTGGGAGTCTGGACTGACTGCCAAAGAATGTGTTAAAATCAACTTAAAAATTAAACAAACAGTTAAGTGGTTGAAGCTAAATACAGAATTTGCTGGTACCTTAATCCAGGGTTTGGTTTCAGCCCCCAGGGCCACTCAGATATTGTGTGTTAGATCCTAACTATATTATAGGCTTGCCTTAATATTTTTTCTCAAATGACATCGTTATTCCACCAAGCAAATATGTTAGTTATTCCACCAAGTTAATATGTTACTTATATATCAGTTGTATTTTTAGAAGCTATTCAAAATTTATATATAAATTAGGATTTAACTTATAATAATAAATAGATTAAATATGTTGTAACTTAAAATAGGGAAAGAATGTATAAGGACTGCACACTTTTAGACGGTTTTGAATGATTGGTTCTTCATTAGGGGGTCACAATTAATGTTTGACTTTAAGATATCTCTGATAAAATTTGTAAAACTTCTTTAAGATCAAAATTGATTGTTCTTTAACCAAAAAAAATCTGTTCCAAAATATGACTTGAGTTATTTTATGTTTTTTAGAATCTTGTAAAGTATTTAAATCTTTTAATTATGCTTTTTGTGTACCATTTAATTATAAATTTGCTCTTTAAGTTAGAACTGCGTTTACAAATCAGACATTATTATTTAAACGAAAAAAAACATTAGCAGATTTGTTACAGAAACGTTGTTCACAACTTGATGGAATTTATAACAAGCAGCTATGGATCCAGGTTTTTTTTTTGCATTTTCAAAATAGCATCATATCTTTCGCTACCTATAATATGTTAGCAAACAATCCGAGCTCTGTTAAAGAAATTTATCCCTCCCTAGATATAGGCTACATCTAGGTTTGTTGGAATATTGACATCGAATTTACCTGGCGCCATCCCCAGCATTGAACATGTAATTAAGAGGTTTTACAGGTATTTTAAATTTGATTAGTCGGTCCATTTACAGAATTTACGATTGTTTAATGTGAACAATTACACAGATTTTCTGAGAGGTTCAATTTCTGAAAATGCAATTTTATGTTTAAATTTTAAAAAGATTTTTACTCATAAATTGTATAATATTTTATAAGATTTCACCCCGTTATTCAAATAGAGAGTTATATTTTCATAGAAATGAAAATTGACCAATGACTGAGTAAGTGCATTTTTGGGTGAGATGAATTTTGAAAATTCTATTGTACAAGATAAAATATGAATAGTTTGAGACTGGTAATGTAGTGAAGGGTTACATGTCCTTCATTGTAGAGATACACATTGCCAAGAAATTACAGTAACATGTACCTTAAAATGGAACTTTCATCAAGGGCGTTTTCGGGAGTTTTCATATAGGCAAAATTTAAAAACTGTTCTATAGAATTTCAATTAAATTTGGCATGATAACAGAGTCATTTTCAGCGAAACAAAAATTGGGGTCACTTTTCTCGTTTTTGAGTTATCTGCCACTGAATCAGAATTTTCTACTTATTTGAGGTCATTTAAAGGGCAGATACCTTACATTTTTTGTACGTAAATGAATTCTTGTTTTTACTTCTGGATAATATTTTTCTTTTTATTGTTGAATACAATAAATAATTACATGCAATTCCTTGTATCGTTTCTGTTAATTTTTTTCAATGAAAATAAAGGTACTTTTAATTTTTTTCAATGTTTAAGAAAAAATGCACAGGTTTATTGAAGAAGTGGGAAAAAAAAAACTATTCACTCTAAATTTGTTCTTGAAATTTTGCATATATTGACTAAGATGAAGGTAAGCTTCATGAAAATAAGAAGAAAAAAATGTTTTGTTTTGCTTCATTGTAAATTATCTGCCCTTGAATTTAACGAAAATGTCCAATTCAATGGCAGATAACTAAAAAATAAGAATGATGACCCAAAAAAGTTTCCGTTTAAAATGTTTCTGTTATCATATTCTAATAGCATGCCAAGTTTAAAGAACTTCTATTGAACACTTTTAATTTTATGAAAACTCTGCAAAATGTCTTTAAATCTCTTGCTAATAAAAAAGTGACAATAATGAAGTAGTCTTTATGTGAAAAATAAAAATTTGAATTGCTCATTTCAGTTCAAAGTTACAAAAATAGAAACACAAAAAAAAGGTTTCTCTACAAGAAGAATATTATGTTTGAACCTGGCAAGAGCAAAATTCACCTGTGAAATGCAAAAAAAGGGAACAACAAACATTGCAAATGATATTATAAAACCCTCTTCACCAGAAGCTTGCCATTAATCTTCTAGGCTTTAAGAAATTACCACATATACTCCAGAATGGATTATTGGAAACATCCATACTACATAAACATGATAATTCTAGTTTTTATGATTCAACAAAACCTGGAGAATTTCCAACAGAAATTTCTGTCTACTCGACTTACAGAGCAGAAAATTTCTGATTAAATAATTATTAGCAGTTTTTTTGTGTTTTTCTCTCCCTGTTGCATTTTTTCCCTGTCTTTTTCTCCGACTTTGCTCTAGGATACACATAATTTTTAGTGGAACGATACCTGAATCAGAGCCTTGTTTGTGTAAATATTATGATGTGTAAATATTATGCTAAGAAGTTTGGCTTGATGAGTGTAAATATATCAGAGTGTTTGTTATCTGATGTTTTTCAGACTTTTCACATCTAAATTGCTTGAATTTTGTCATTAATTTGGTAAACCAGAAAGGTTTACAGTTAACTTTTTCTAGAAACATCCTGCAGTTTCCTGATTAAGCTGTATGAGGGAGAGTATTTTGCACAAGGAAATTGTTTCATTGACTTATGCAGCACCCTCCCCCCACACCCCCACCCCAACCCCTCAAAAGGGCAGTGCTTGAGAAATGAGCCAAGTTATTGCCTTCAGTCCACATGATTAGTATAGTTCAATAGGAAGTTACCGGGTATATCAAACAAGTAAATCAGGTTTCACAGGTACGATCCTTAGGTAAAATCTCTCTGTAGACATTGAGTCTTATGGTCATTTGTCTCTCACTGCTGATTCAAACATCATGTAGGATAAGTAAGTGGTCACTTTTGAAGAAATTAGTATTAACTGGTTACTGTACCAGGAGGAAAGCCAATGAAAAAAGTTTTAGTGGGGATTTACAAATTTTCATCAATTTTTCTTTATAAGCTTTTGATTTTTATCAGGGTTTGATCATCCAAATCGAAGTCCCAGCTATTCACTGCAGCTGGGGGAGGAGTTAGGGGCAGGATATAATGACTTACATTTCTTCACCTGTGTTTGAGTCTTTAGCTTTTGTGAAGAAGTACATGTAATCCTTAATTACTAACTATTTAAAGTAATCTATGTCAAGCTGAATTATCCTAAATTATCATTTTAAGTAAGTAAATATAGCCAAGTTATCATGATTTACCTATACTTTCTATGGAAAAAAAATTAGCCAAGTTGGCTTTGCTTATCTGTTTCCTTCAAGAGTAAACATGTTGTATTCAACCTGTGAGGTCAAGCCAGTCATTTCAGACAGAAATTACTTGTTTCTGAAGAAAAAATGCAGTGATTTACCAAATAAACTGTCTGTTGTTTGGTAGTTTAGAGGACTCAAAACATCAGTTATTTACTAACCTTGCCAGTTACTATCAGCTTCTAGTAGAAAGAACCTGTCATCATAAAGCATTACGTTTTTGCTAGCTTTTTCTTAGTTTTTTTTGTCACTAATAACTGTTTCCTTTGCCCAATGTTGAGCACTAATGTTGAGCACTATAAGTTTGATTGAGTATTGTTACTTTAAATAACTTATATTATATTAGCTGCTCTCTTTCAGATTTATAAACTTATTTTTAAAGAAATGCAAAAATAGAAAGACTTAAAGAACTTTATATGTACAATCTATGTTTCATATAGTATGAAATATCATAATTTCATCAACCTAGAAATTCCAATTATTAGAAAATATAGTGGCTACTAATCTTGAACTGTAAAATTGTTTAGAGTAACCAATAATGGCCGCTGATGGATATTGGCATAGGTTTCCTTCTTCCACCTACACTGACACTCCATTAAAACACAACCTGTTATAACATGACCTGTTATAATTAACACGCCTGTTAACACGCTAACCTCACTTTAATTATTAAATTGTTTTAGAAATAAAAATGTTGATATATTAGTAAAGTTGTATGAAATGGTGGTGGGATGGGGTGATGAGGTAATTGCGCAATGAGTGCTTTATATTAGAACTTTGATAGAATGAGGGGTTGAGACCTTGGACCCCAACATGAGCGTTATAATAGGGTTGCCATGTATTGTGTATTATGACCCATTTTTAGTTTTTTAGCAAAAAATTCTAATGTTAGCAAAATTCACTTGTTTCAGATATGTGGCAATAGTTTTACTGCTTAGAAAAACCTGTAAGCTTAACAATAATCAGCATAGATCAGGAATAATTATCATTTATCTTTTAGATTTTAAAATTCAGAACATAAAGCCAAGGTGTGATATGAATGTCAAAATAAACATAAATTTTCTTTATTTCTTTCCAGGACCTTTGGCACATAATTTTTACAAGAAAGAAAAACCAGTGATAGAGTTCAGTAATTCGTCAATCAATGCTTCAAGTGGCGAGGTTGTGTTAAACGCAGGGACTTATGGTTATGAGAGACCATTTCGGCAAGGTGACAGTCTTAATGTTACATGTTACAGCAGTCTACCGGCACTTTGGGTTGTTGTGCAAGGGGAGGAAACTCTAGTAAGTATAGAGTTCTTAGTATAAGAAACCTAAAGTGAAAATGACAAAGAAATGTTTTTACTCTTGCAACTCTCTTCCAGTCATGGACTTTGGGTTTTTAGCTCACCTTGCACAAAGTGCAGGTGAGCTTTTAGGATGGCCAACCAAATGGCGTCCGTCGTCTGTCGTCCGTCCACATTTTAAATATTCTAAGGACATCTTCTATGATACCGCAAGGCCAATGTTAATGAAACTTGGCAGGAATACTCTTTGTATGAAGCTCTATCAAGATTGTTCAAAGAATTCCATTTCATGCAGAACTCTGGTTGCCATGGCAACCGAAAGAAAAATCTTTAAATATCTTCTTTTAAAGAACCGTAAGAGCTAGAGCTTAGATATTTGGCATGAAACATCTTCTAATGAGTGTCTACCAAGTTTGTTCAAATAAAAGCCCTAGGGTCAAAATTGGCCCGGCCCCAGGGGGTCATTGATTTTCCCTATATGCATATAGTAAAAACTTAAAAAATCTTCTTTTAAAGAACCCAAAGAGCTAGAGCTAAGATATTTGGCATGAAACATCTTCTAGTGAGTGTCTACCAAGTTTGTTCAAATAAAAGCCCTGGGGTCAAAATTGGCCCCGGCCCGGGGGGGTCATTGATTTTCCCTATATGCATATAGTAAAACTTAAAAAATCTTCTTTTAAAGAACTGTAAAAGCTAGAGCTTAGATATTTGGCATGAAACATCTTCTAGTGAATGTCTACCAAGTATGTTCAAATAAAAGCCCTGGGGTCAAAATTGGCCCCGCCCCAGGGGTTCATTGATTTTCCCTATATGCATATAGTAAAAACTTAAAAAATCTTCTTTTAAAGAACCCAAAGAGCTAGAGCTAAGATATTTGACATGAAATATCTTCTAGTGAGTGTCTACCAAGTTTGTTCAAATAAAAGCCCTGGGGTCAAAATTGGCCCCGCCCCGGGGAGTCATTGATTTTCCCTATATGCATATAGTAAAAACCTAAAAAATCTTCTTTTAAAGAACCGTAAGAGCTAGAGCTTAGATATTTGACATGAAACATCTTCTAGTGAATGTCTACCAAGTTTGTTCAAATAAAAGCCCTGGCGTCAAAATTGGCCCCGCCCCAGGGGGTCATTGATTTTCCCTATATGCATATAGTAAAAACTTAAAAAATCTTCTTTTAAAGAACTCAAAGAGCTAGAGCTAAGATATTTAGCATGAAACATGTTCTAATGGGTGTCTACCAAGTATGTTCAAATAAAAGCCCTGGGGTCAAAACTGGCCCGCCCCAGGGGTCATTGATTTTCCTTATATGTGTATAGCAAAAACTTAAAAATCTTGTTTGAAAAAACCCAAATAGCTTGAGTTTAGATATTATACATGAAACAGTTTTAAGTAAATATCTACAAAGTTTGTTCAAATAAAAGCCCGGGGGTCAAAACTGGCCCTGCCCCAGTGGTGTCATTGTTTTTAACTATATGTGTATAGTAAAAACTTAAAAAATCTTCTTTTAAAAAACCCAATGAGCTAGAACTTAGATGTTTAGCATGAAACATTTTCTTATGGGTGTCTACCAAGTCTGTTCAAATAAAAGCCCTTGGGTAAAAATTGGCCCGGGGGAGGGGGGGGGGGCTATATACAGGTGAGCGACCTCAGGGCCATCATGGCCCTCTTGTTTCATGTTGAGCAAGCTATCCAGTTAGCTTATTGAAGATTGTGGTTTTCTCAGATTCCCATCTACATTTATGCTTGAAAAAATGCAATAGGAACATCTAAGGTCTACCTCCTCCAGAAAAAAAGCTGGAAAATTATTTTTAGCTCACCTGTCACAAAGTGACAGGGTGAGCTTTTGTGATCGCTTTTCGTCCGGCGTCCGTCCGTCGTCCGTCCGTCGTCCGTCCGTAAACTTTTGCTTTAAATGACATCTCCTCATAAACCACTGAGCCAATTTCATCCAAACTTCACAGGAATGTTCCTTTGGTGGTCACCTTTAAAAATTGTCCAAAGAATTTAATTCCATGCAGAACTCTGGTTGCCATGGCAACCGAAAGAAAAATCTTTAAATATCTTCTTTTAAAGAACCGTAAGAGCTAGAGCTTAGATATTTGGCATGAAACATCTTCTAGTGAGTGTCTACCAAGTTTGTTCAAATAAAAGCCCTGGGGTCAAAATTGGCCCGGCCCCAGGGGGTCATTGATTTTCCCTATATGCATATAGTAAAAACTTAAAAAATCTTCTTTTAAAGAACCGTAAGAGCTAGAGCTAAGATATTTGGCATGAAACATCTTCTAGTGAGTGTCTACCAAGTTTGTTCAAATAAAAGCCCTGGGGTCAAAATTGGGCCCGCCCCTGGGGGTCATTGATTTTCCTTATATGCATATAGTAAAAACTTTAAAAAATCTTCCTTTAAAGAACCGTAAGAGCTAGAGCTAAGATATTTGGCATGAAACATCTTCTAGTGAGTGTCTACCAAGTTTGTTCAAATAAAAGCCCTGGGGTCAAAATTGGCCCCGCCCCGGGGGGTCATTGATTTTCCCTATATGCATATAGTAAAAACTTAAAAAATCTTCTTTTCAAGAACTGTAAGAGCTAGAGCTAAGATATTTGGCATGAAACATCTTCTAGTGAATGTCTACCAAAATTGTTCAAATAAAAGCCCTGGGGTCAAAATTGGCCCCGCCCCAGGGGGTCATTGATTTTCCCTATATGCATAAAGTAAAAACTTGAAAAATCTTCTTTTAAAGAACCCAAAGAGCTAGAGCTAAGATATTTGGCATGAAACATCTTCTAGTGAATGTCTACCAAGTTTGTTCAAATAAAAGCCCTGGGGTCAAAATTGGCCCCGCCCCGGGGGGGTCATTGATTTTCCCTATATGCATATAGTAAAAACTTAAAAAATCTTCTTTTAAAGAACCATATGAGCTAGAGCTTAGATATTTGGCATGAAACATCTTCTAGTGAATGTCTATCAAGTTTGTTCAAATAAAAGCCCTGGGGTCTACAAGCCCTGGGGTCAAAATTGGCCCCGCCCCAGGGGGTCATCGATTTTCCCTATATGCATATAGTAAAAACTTAAAAAATCTTCTTTTAAAGAACCCAAGGAGCTAGAGCTAAGATATTTAGCATGAGACATGTTCTAATGGGTGTCTACCAAGTATGTTCAAATAAAAGCCCTGGGGTCAAAATTGGCCCCGGCCCGGGGACATTTATTTTCCTTATATGTGTATAGCAAAAACTTAAAAATCTTCTTTGAAAAAACCCAAATAGTTAGAGTTTAGATATTAAGCATGAAACATCTTTAAGTAAATATCAACAAAGTTTGTTCAAATAAAAGCGCGGGGGTCAAAACTGGCCCTGCCCGAGGGGTGTCATTGTTTTTAACTATATGTGTATAGTAAAAACTTAAAAATCTTTTTTTAAAAAACCCAATGAGCTAGAACTTAGATTTTTTGCATGAAACATCTTCTTATGGGTGTCTACCAAGTCTGTTCAAATAAACAAATAAAAGCCCTTGGGTAAAAATTGGCCCGGGGGGGGGGGGGGGGCTATAAACAGGTGAGCGACCTCAGGGCCATCATGGCCCTCTTGTTTAGAAATCTTATCACTTGCTTTGTAAGGAATTAAATTGCTCATTTGTCAGGAAACTGTACATCCTTAAATATTTGTCAGGAAACTTTACATCATTAAATATTTGTCAGGAAACTTTACATCATTAAATATTTGTCAGGAAACTTTACATCATTAAATATTTGTGAGGAAACTTTACATACTTATACATTTGTGGGACAACTTGACATAGTTACACATGGGTAATGAAATTTAATATTATTGCTTATGTGTAAGGAACCTTACTTAATTGCGCATTTGTCAGGAAACTTTACATAATTGCTCATGTGTAAGGAAGCTTTACACAATTGCTCATATGTGAGAAAACTTTACATAATTGCTTATGTGTAAAAGGGAACTTTATGTAATTGCTCATGACTGTCAGGAAACTTAACATAATTCCTCATGTGTAAGGAAACTCTACATGCTTGCTAATTTGTGAGGAAATTAAATAATTGCTCATGTGTAAGGAAACTTTACATAATTGCTCATGTGTAAGGAAACTTTACATATTTGCACTTTTGTGAGATAATTAAATAATTGCTCATGTGTAAGGAAACTTTACATTGTTAAACATGGATAAGGAAACTTTATATAATTACTCATTTGTAGGGAAACTTTACATACTTATTATTACTAAGCATTTATAAGGAAACATTTGATACAGCTTATATTATTTAGATATCACTATCATGAAAGGCCTTGTTTTCTCTTTACTTATAGGGTCCAAACTTTGCTCAGAATGATGATTTAAAGGAAATTATTATCACAGAAAGAGAAACAGTACAAGGTTATCGATATGAATCAAATCTCTACATTGAAAACATAAAGTATGATTATACAGGACTTTATGTCTGTCGACTGGAGAATGATCTAAACGTAAATAACAGTGTCTTCATTTTTGCAAAAGGTAAGTTAAAAATTGTGCTGTTTAACTTGTATTGAGTAAATAAAGGCTGATAAATCTGGCCTAAGCTTTCTTAAATTTTAACCTGATGAGTTCCTTAAATAGACTTATTGAGTTTACATTTTTGGAACTGTCCATACTTGAATTGTGACAAAAATTATTCAGCCAACTTTAATAGAGCCTGGTCCAATTACACAGATGTACCTGCAGGCTGTAGAGGTGCTTATGATACAGGTGACAATTGCTTATCATTCATAGTTATAGCAGGTTAAGTGTTAAGAACAATTTGTCACCTTGCTGCAATAACGGGTTAAGTCCTTCTAAATTTAATCGGAGCTAATCATTTATTGCACTTAAATGACAAATTGTTCTATTAACCTGCTAGCTTGTAACTGAAGTAATGCATGCAGAAACAGTAGAATAATAACAAAATATAAGTATTTTGTTCATTATGGATAGAAAATTTTGAAAACTAACAAAGATACTGTACTCAATCTTTGGCATAGGAGATACAAAATAAATTTTTTGTATCAATATTTTGAACATTCACGATCAAGTTACGGTAATCATCTTACTGAGAAAATGAAATGCATAATGCCTGTAACTCTCTTATACCCTTAACAGACAAGCATTGGTATGGCCTGGAGTGCTCTTGTTTATTTTAAAGCTTTTTCAAAAGTGAGATTAGTCAGTTTATAGTGTTTTACATGGACAAAATCTTGTTCAATCCCATCGTCAATTGCCGAAAAAGCTCTAAAAACGTATACTGCATGTTGAAAAGTTAGTGAATTTAAAATACCAGACATTTCACATGAGGAAATATTAGCGAATCATGCAAGGGTAGAATTTAATGACAGGTTGGTTGATATTTACGCTAGAGGAAATTTTAGTCGCAAAAATTCGCCAATATTTCCGCGTTACTAACTTAACCACTTATACAGTGTATTTTGTTCGTAAAGGTAGAGAAATATTTGTATATACGTCATAATTAAAAAACAATAGTACATAATAATTTTCAGAGATATTTTTTCTTTGTAGATATGGAGAGACCATTTACAGATCGACATTATGTAAACATTCCAAACTACCCAAACCATCTGACCTTGTATATGAGTCAAAGCTTCATAGTGCCATGTCAGACAAGTTTTCCTGACATAAACATCACATTTCGCTGTATTTGTCACGATCCTAAAGTATTAGGGCCGGAGCAAGGTGTTGTGTTTGATCCTAAAGAAGGCGTGAAAATAGCATCTGTAGACGGCTCGTTTGATGGGTTGTATGTGTGTGAGACGAAATTAAATAACATAACATATAACAGAACGTTTACATTTTTGATACATGGTAAGTGAAAAGCTATCAATTTATCAGTTGTTCATTAAAAATTACTGGGATGAAAAGTCAGGGGGGGGGGTTATTGAAATTACTTCTTAAAAAGTCCAAAATACAAAAAAAAACCATAGAGAAAATATTGTTTTAAATGACATGAATTATGTTACCTTATGTACAAGGATCTAGCCATTCATTGTCAAAGACTGCAATGGTGAGCTAGTGGTAGGTGCACCTCAGGTGACCTGGTATGTCAGGTGTGACAGGTTTGGACTGTACATAGCATAGAATGTTTACCCTGAATAAATCTACAGAATTTTATGGCCTTACTCTTGGGTAGAGGGGCATATAGATTTGCCATTTATCTGTCCATCACATGAACAAATGCATGGAAAATAATGATTTAACTTGTTTTGGCATTTTATGTCTTCTTTTGTGTGCTATTTTATTTATGAAATGTATAGCATAAATAGCTCTTCTACAATGTTATATAACTGTAATAACATATAAAGAAAAATTACACAATGATTTTATTACATGGAAAATAAGACATCATGTCACATGATATTTTAGTCACAATTTATTTTCTATTTATAGTAACACCAGATGTTCCTCCTATGCCATATTTGGTTCCAACTGACGATATACATAAAACAATCGGAGAGTCGTTTACTTTGTCATGCAAAGTGAAAGTAATGACCGGTGTTCGGCCAATTTTGAAATGGTCATACTCTACATCTGCTAAACAGGTTTGTTGTCTATCTCCCAAACTTCATATTATCATCTGTCTGATTTCCTGAAGATCCCTGCATGTTATTCTGTTTTATTTTTAGGTTTTCAATACATCACAGACTGTCTAAATTTAAAAGATGACCACTATTTGTATTTCAATCATTATGAGGTTAAATAGTGCACTTCAGGGAGACAGAATCATGGTTGTCCCTCTCTGCTATACAGGTTTGAAATGGTACTCAAAAGTTTTAATTAGATCCTGTGAAAAAAACAACATCCAGCTGACTTGAAAAAACCCTGCATGTTTGGCCTGTTGCTGAAACAGTGTATTGAGAGGGGCTTGTCAGTCATCTTCCACAAATAAAGATATAAAGTAACCATACGGTGCCACTGTGGCAGAGGGGTTTGGTTTGGTAACTTAAGGGCACCACTCCCAATGCTTTAGGCTTGAATTGTGCATGGGTCTTTGGATTATTTCATGTGATTAAGGTATCTGGCTACCATATAGAAGGTCAGTAATTCTATCTTAGGTTCTGCTTTGTGTTAGTAATAGTACTTAAGGAGGGCCCCTGAAGTCTTTTACCACTAGTAAAGCTGGAAAGTCCTCATGTAACCTTAAACACTGTTTGTGTGATTTAAAACATATGAATTATTCTTAAACCCCTTAAAATAAAAAAGTAAAGTAAGAATGAACAGTTCAAAATTCAAAGGAGGACAACTTGGCTTTGCAAGTGTAAAAACACATCCAATCTTATAAAAAGAACTGTTCTGGATATTCCTGTTCCAAATTATTATAACCAATAGATAACTAAGAAGGCCTTCACCATGTTTCATCAGGCAGGATATTATTTTTTTACTTGTCAAAATACTGCAGTTCATTGAAATCAACATTATATAAATACTGGTACATTTTGACATTTTGTTTATAAGTTATCAGTGTAAAGCATGTCTTAATGTTAGAGCTGCTGCCAAGCATTAAATGTCCCAAAAAAATTAAAAGTTTATAATACCTACAAAATGTTTATTACAAGGTCACATTGATCTCTATTTCTTAAAAAAATTCTTTATACTTAAAAAGGCCCTCCACTGAGGCCCAAAATACTTAAAAGATATAATTTGAAACTTTTTCATACATTTTCGATCCACAGAGGCACTGTAAAAAGAATAATATTGCAAAGATATTTAGTAAAATAATTATACGAAGAATTAAATGAAATGTCAATGGTTAGTGTGATTCTCTACCCGATTTGAGTTAAAAGTGTAATGCTTTTCTTTTTTTAGCTGGTCATTTGGCACAGTAAAATAATTATTTTAGAAAAACAGTGTGAATGAAAGATTTAAAATTTTGCATTTCATTGGTTTTTTTTTTTTTGTTGTTTTTTTTTTTTTTTAATAAATCAAACTCTGGCCAAACACAAAGCTGCATTCTGGAGACTGGTTATGAACAATTGTTTTTTAAGCTTGGGTGGACAGTCTGTGATGGAATTAATTTATGAATTAATCATGTACTTTATTTCAGCTCAGAGTAAAGAAATAGAAAAAAAATAATCTCAGAAATCCTCTTCATCTAAATTGTGTAGGAAGAGATAAGATGTATGTTTTAAGAATGTATTCTCAATAATTAAACTACTTTAAATACCCATCTTGTTTGAAAGCATGATAGACTGATATCTGTGACAGCTTTAAACTATGTATTGCCAAGATTGAACAGAAAATTTGTTTCTGGTTTCTGCCTCTTAATTCACACCTTTTCTGCCTAGCTTTGAATTTGGAACTGCCCATTGTAATTTGAAACTTCAACTAACATTGACAAGCAAAGGTTCCATAACTCTGAGTTAACTTTTTACAGAGTTATGCCACCTTTGTCTTACTCCCATGCACTGAGGATAATCTAGCACAGACAGCTCTTGATTCAGAAAAAAAGTTTAATAGCCAAATTTTTAGATAGAAACCAGAAACAAAACATCTATTGGTCCTACAATATTGTCTAGTGTTCCTGGAATGTCATAGTAGATTCAGACAGTAAAACTTGTAGTTTTCATAGAAATATTCATCTGTCAATGAATAGGCTGCATAACTGACATTGTTACTGCCCCTCTAGCTTTGATTCTTTTTCAGATAATGGCTGATCATGTTGCATAGAATGGTGCAAAAGTATCTGATATTCTACCCTTAACTGCACTAGTCAGCTTAACAATCCTTGGGATATAGCAGAGGCTTATATTATTGGATTATCAAAAGCGCAACATGTTTGGACAGTTGGTGAAATCCCCACACTATCTTTAGTTTGACAATTCCTTCAATAATACATTGTATGGTTATCACTATACAACATACATTATGTATTGAATGTAAAAACTTGACCAGTTTCCCCAGGCTATCCCCCTGCTGCACTGCTGTGAGGGAGTGGGATGGGGCAACCATTGAGTGACAAGTGAGGGATTAGATGACCTTGTACCATTTGTATAGAACATATCAGTCATATGTAGAAAATTATTGATACACAAAGCTAGAGGCTCAGTCACTGTACAACAAATATTTATATACATGTTGTGGCACTCTCCAGCCTCTGTCCTATTCCATTTAGAACTTTCAAAATGGTTTCAGTAATGTGCCACCAAGGGCATCTTTTTTGCATCATATAATGTCAGTTTTGTAGTTTCTGATTTCTGTCATTTCGTGTTTTCGGGTCTTTGTTTCTCAAAAGTCAAAAGTGAAGACACCATTATATGCTTACTTTTGTGTCTTTGCCTTCTACTTTTGAGGATGCTGACACAAAGACGTAATAGATTTTAGGCAAAATAATGATATTTTGATAGGTGAAGACACAAGATCTTCTGCAGAATCATTGTGTTGGTGGGGTGAAAGGCAAAGACACAATATTTGTCAGAAAAACTCAATAAATTGGCCAATTGGGCGCCAATATGAAGATTTCTACCCCCTGAATGATAATTTCACAGAAAAAAGATTTTGTGTTTTTGCCTATTAAAATATCATTATTTTGAATAAAATCTATCATGTCTTTGTGTTCGCATTCTCAAAAGGCGAAGCCGAACCACAATAAGTCAGCATATTTATCGTGTCTTCGCCTTCAACTTTTTAGGGGTGAAGACACGAAATGCAGTTATGAGCCACCATAGTAGATAAATACACCATGCATTGTTAGATACAAAAATGTATACCATGAATTGTTAGATACAGCATGCATTTTTAGCTCACCTGTCACAAAGTGACAAGGTGAGCTTTTGTGATCGCTTTTCGTCCGGCATCCGTCTGTCCTTAAATTTCTACTTTAAACGATATCTCCTCATAAACTGGTAAGCCAATTTCATCAAAACTTCACAGAAATGTTCCTTTGGTAGTCAACTTGAAAAATTATTCAAAGGATTTAATTCCAAGCAGACCTCTGGTTGCCATGGCAACGGAAAGAAAAAACTTAAAATATCTTCTTTTAAAAAACGTAAGAGCTAAAGCTTAAATATTTGGCACGAAACATCATCTAGTCAGTGTCTGCCAAGTTTTTTTTTTCAAATAAATGCCCTGGGGTCAAAATTGGCCCCGACCCAGGGGGTCATTGATTTTTCTTATTTGTATATAGTAAAAACTTAAAAATCTTATTTAAAAAAAAACAAAATAGCTAGAGCTAAGACATTTAGCATGAAACATCTTCTAATGGATGTCTACCAAGTTTGTTCAAATAAGGAACCTTGGGTTAAAATTGGCTGCGCCCCAGGGGTCATTGATTTTCCTTATATGTGTATAGTAAAAACTTAAAAAATCTTCTTATAAAAAACCCAAAGAGCTAGAGTTTAGATACTAAGCATGAAATATCTTCTAGTGTCAGTGTCTACCAAGTTTGTTCAAATAAAAGCCCTGGGTCAAAATTAGCTCCTCCCAGGGGGAGCTAGATCTTAGACATTTATCATGAAACATCTTCTTGTGGGTGTTTACCAAGTTTGTTCAAATAAAAGCTCTTGGTTTAAAATTGGCCTTGGCTCAGGGACCTAATCTAATACAGGTGAGCGATTTCAGGGCCATCATGGCCCTCTTGTTAGATATACCATGAATTATTAGATATTCCATGAATTGTTAGATACACCATGCATTGTTAGATATACCTTACATTGTTTCAAATCTTTATCCCAAATCTTCTTTTCTTCTTTTCTCTAGGATATTGCATTGGAGGTAAGTGAATCGTTTTTGCATGTTAAAGCTGTAATTGTACCTGAATCTTATATATTTATTTTGATATATATTTATTTATTTGTTTCTATCTTATTTTATTTTGATAAGTTTTATTTCTATTTTAAATTTGTGTATCTGTGATTAATTTTGAAAGTATTTTAGTTAATTTTGTAAAAAAAAATGTATTTTATGTGTTTATTTTGGTTGAATGGGGGTGCTTTTTGGTTGAATTTGTGTGTACTTTGGTAAAAAGTGTGTATTTTGATAAATAGTGTGTGTATTTTAGTATGTACTGTATTCATTTGCTTGACTAGGCTGTTCATAAAGTTAAAAAGTTTGAATTGGTAAAGTGTTAAATGTTATTAGCACTTAGTGTTGCTTTGTAATTATAACTACTATCACTATAAGCGCCTTTGAATTAATGCTACTTTTCCGTGGAAGAAATTGTTATCTCTCAAAAATTTATTCTATATTAAAGTGGCTGATGATCACCCCCCCCCCCCCCCCAAAAAAAAAAAAAAAACACGACAAATCCCCACAGTGTTCTTTGTAAAAAAGTCCCACAAAGAACTTTAGATTCTATCACAAGAGAAAAGTATTTAATCCTTATCTCGCAAAATGTCTCTAATCTGGACAAACAAATCATCATTTTGTGAGAAAATTTTAATAATTATGCAGTTAAAAATGGTAACCATGATCAGCCAATAGGAATGTACCTGTTGACCATGGCATAGGAAGAATCTGTTGCTGCCAGCAGGATATAAGGGTCAGGGTCTAAGCTCTATTATCAAGTTGCAAGCTTGTGCCTGAAATATTGTGTTAAGGGGCACTATAATGATGTTGTCCTCACCAGTAAAGTTTAAAGCTATATTACTTTTATATTGTATGTGAAGTCTAAAAAAGGTACTTAATGTTGAAAATGATTGTTGGGACATAAGTTTTAATGCTTACTATGCAGGAACCAAAAATACAAAGCCTTTGCCAGGGCTGTAAGTTAGCTTCAAAAAATTTAATAGGCCCCTTTCAGAAAGCAAAATAAAGTAAAAAAATCCCTTACATCTTGTCAGAATTATTGAAATGAACTGATCATTCCCAAGTTTAGACTGAAGCATTTGTAGGAGATCAGTCTAACAAGAATACTGTAAAGAATTTAGATTGTCCCCAATTAAGGGTTCATAAGAGGTTAAGAATAGAAATCCCTGTAAATTTATAACTCTTTAGTAATTTGAAGGACTATCTCTGAAATTGGTTCTACTTTATAAAAATATTTTAATCCATGAATAAAGGTAAAAAATGCAGGACCTTTACGAGCATCTTACAATTTTTAGCTTTCACTGTACCAATTTTGTATGAAATGTTAGAAATATAAAAAGAAAAGAAAGTTCTTGAGAAAAGATATCAATCTTAAGGTTTGAAGAGGGTCAAGAGGCTTTATAGTTTAAGAGAAAGATAGAAATTTGCTGCATGTATGTGGTAATTATAGAACTATATGAGCCACGTCACGACAAAACCAACATAATGCGTTTGCGCCCAGCATGGATCCAGACCAGCCTGCGCATCAGTGCAGTCTGATCAGGATCCATGCTGTTTGCTTACCAACCCTTTTACAAATAGAGAAACTGATAGCAAACAGCATGGATCCTGATCAGACTGCGCGGATGCACAGGCTGGTCTGGATCCATGCTGGGCGCAAACACATTATGTTGGTTTTGTTGTGACGCGGCTCATATGTATTTTGTAAAAAAAGGGGGGAGGAAAAGTTGTATGTAACAGTTGTCACTGGGTTGTTGTTTGTGATTTATTTGCTTCTTTAAAACTAAAATGGAAATCTGTCAATGTGTCCATCAGGGGTTATGTTCATAGTCTAGTGACTCTGAGAAGGGCTGTTATCAGTGTCATTAAGAAAGAGTTATTTAAATATCCTCAAAGAACCAAATCTTTATAAAAAGAAAATTAATACAATTTAATTGTATTTGAGTTACTTATTGTTTTTTGGGGGGAGGGGGGATTGGGGATATAAAATTGATAATGTATTCTGTATCATTTTTGATTGTGGAGCTAATTTTAACAAGATTTACTGTTTTATATACATTTAGACACATCATATCTAACATAATACCACTTTCAGGTAAATGTAAATACCAGATGTAACCAAAATTGTCAACATTTATCTCTGTAAATGTTTTAATGGTTTTTGTTGTGTATGACTCATGTTATTGTCTGAAACATTCTACGTAATGCATGTACTGATGATATACATATATAGGTACTGCTGAAAATTGCAACAGTTATCAATTCATTTTAACCTAAATAATTTATGTAATGGCTTTGCCCTTCCTTGGCATGTCTGTGGCGGAATGGTTAAGGTCATTGACTTCAAACCACTTGCAACTCACCGCTGTGGGTTAGAATCCCAACAGGGACTTTGGATTCTTTCATGTGAGGAAGCTTTCCAGCTAGCCTAACGGAACATCGGTGGTCCTACTCAGGTGCCCGTTTATGCCTAAAATAATGCAAGGAAGGGCAACTGAGGTCTTCCACTACCATTAAAGCTGGAATATCGCCAAATGACCTATACTGTGTCGGTGTGGCTTAAGACCCAATCAAACAAACAAATTGCCCTTCATTGAATTTAAAACAATCCATTTGAAGTTTTAAGGATTTTAATATCAAAATAAAACAATTAGAGCTACCAGCAGTATAGGGTCTAGTTGGGGACAACACTAGTCAAAATATACTGACATGCCAAATCGAGATTCTGAGATATGTTTTGTTCTTGGGCAGAATTGCCCATACTCAAAATAGCACAATATCTCATAGCCTATTGCAATTAGTTATATACTTAGGCAGAGACTATAATTACATGCAGTTCCAGCTAGTTAAGGAATGGAAATCATTATCACAAATCAAATATTAACAAGTATATATATAACATGTATATTTTATTTATATTTCACTTGCCTACTAGTTTTTAATGACAATAATATACTATACATCAAATTATAATGAGTGTGGTTCAGTCAATATGAACTCGTCTGTAAAGTTTTGATATACTTGTAATTCTTATTTGCTGCTGTTTTTCCAAGGCAAAATTTAGAATAGTCCAGTAATATAATTGATTTAGACATTTTAAGACAACTATCAAGCCACTGTCATTTTCTAAAAAAAAATTAATTTTTATTTGGTCTTTGTAGAAATTTGCATTTAAGTGCCATATTAAAATACTAACAGGGGCATAAAAATAACACTCACAGGGGCATTACATTTTTAAGGATGAGAGGGTTACATTTCCCTTGTGCATTGTTTGAAAGGGCATCGCATTTTTTGAAGAATTATTATAATTATATTTTTGGGAACTTTTTATTAGAACATTAATGAAATTTAATACAATTCAAAGAAATCTTTTAACTTATATTTTCTGAAGGACATTTCTATTCTGAGGACATTACATTTTTTCAAAAGCATTACATTTTTTGAGAACATTTTTCAAAGACAGTACATTATTTGCTTTTTAATTTAAGGGAAATTAATTTATGATACTTTTAGATAGTAATAAAGCTTATATAAATGACATTGATATTAATGACATTGTAGGATGATAATAATCGAGTGACAATCATGAAACCATATAGAACAGACAATGGTGCCACTGGCCTTGAAGAGTTCCGTGGTGACCTTTCAGTGCGTGGCGTTACGTTAGACGATCAGGGGATCTACAAATGTATTGCATGGTTATCTGATACAAACAAGGGCAGAGTCGAGACCCATGTTTATGTTCATGGTACGTATGAAAATGTAAATTATTTGTGTTTTTTTTTTCAATGCAGTTTGGGGGCCGAACTAGGGCCCCATTCACAAAGCTCAAATTTTGTATTTATTTTTTCGCAATTTGTAATTGATAATTCACAAACACTAAACTTTTCTGTTAAGATAATTTTGTGGTTTGAGTGTGATAAGTAGATCATGAAGCCTGGTATTTAAAGGCAGTTTGTCACATTTTAAGAAGGTTTCTTGACACAGTTTGACTGTATTTTTTTTTGTTCATTTTAGAAAAATCTTTCGTATATCTAATGGCAGCAGAAGAAAATATTACTGTCAGAGAGAACGTTGATCATAAAGCCGATTTTTATATAAAAGTAAACGCCTATCCAGAGCCAACATTCTACTGGAAAAAAGATGGCAGAAATATTACCAAACAGGACACGAAGATTGAGTCACAGAGTTTGTGAGTAATTTTTATGAATAATTCAAATATGACCTTGACCTTTATTTGACCTTGACCATCAAGGTCAAATTATTGATGAAGGACAGGACTTAAAACTCATCAAAATCTCAGTGGCTATAATGATTGGACTTATGTATAGTGCCTGGTCTGTTTTCATAACCATGCTAAGGATACCAATTTAGTTATGTTGAAAAAAAAAGTGAAAAAATGGGGAGTGTTTTTCACAGTGCCAGTGAATCAGGTAATGGTTGTTGACTGATATTCTTATCCCCTTCTTTTATGGATTTGATACCAATTTTGCCCTGGATTATGAATTGTCTGGCAAACACTGACTGAGTGTCAATAGCTCTTACCTGGTATTTTTTAGTGACTGAAAAAACTCACAAAGGTGTTCTTTATGATATCTATATTATATGAGTTAAAATAAAAATAAAAAAACACAGAAAAAAGTAATTGAATGCTTTAAGCAGACCTATGCAACCAATACAGACCAAATACTTATTCATTATTCAGTCTTACCAAAGGTGTGTGTGCTTTAGGTTTGCCCAACCTCACCACCAGAAAAAATTATCACAATTCTGGGTTGCTATGGGTTGCTCAGTTTAAATATTTTTAGAAATAAAGTATGAACTGTTCAAAATTCTAAGCTAGTGGACTTAGTCTATTATAACACTTAAGCAGGGTACGAGGATATGTTTTCTTGAATAGCGTTCTTATTGAAGTCAGCGTTTCAAAACAGGTGTATATGTTAATGTGGTGTATTTCTAACAAACTTTCAAGGTATTTCAAGGTATTTCCAATCAGCTTGCCAATAAATGAAATGTTTGCAGTTTAATTCTTGGGTGTGGTTTTCTGTTGGAATCAATAAATTTCCTGTATTGCACTGAAACCAGAATCTGGTACTTAAAATGACAATAAAATTTCATAGTTTATGAATAAGCATCTAAATGCATGAGGTTGTATTAATTCATTAAATGATTTATTTCTCCTGTGTACTGAAGGGCTAGAATAAATAGAAAATGTTTCCACTAGTGCAGTGAGTCTGTGGTTGGTAATTCCATTAGTATTGGTCAGTTTGAATTTGATTTGAAGGGCCGTCCCTGGTATAGTGTTGGTTCACTCTCAAGATGTCCATTCATAACAGGAATGGAAAGACTAAAGCACAATAAATAAAAGATTGTGCCATTTAAATGATAAAGGTTACCAAAGTTTTTTAGCTATTGTCCTAAATCTCACCCTAGTGTTGGTTTTACATACATCTGTAGATCAGTAACTTACACTTATAGGTCTTAAACTGTAAAATGGATCGCCTTTTTTAACTTTGAAAAAATCTTTGTTAAAGTTTTGATTGTATATTCTTAGGCCACAATCATTGAGAGTTACTTCACTGGAAACTTCACACATGCCTTCAAAAAAAAAAATTCTAGGTCACTTTAAAAGACCCATAACTCTAGCATGGATTTTGACCGAATTATACTTTTTTGAAATGTTTTACATATTTATAATTTATCTGGCAGATCTTGTTTTGGAAAAATGATTATGTAAAATTTTTGTGAATTTAATACCAATGCATTTAATTTTCTATGGTGTAGCAAAAAAGCATTCATATGTTTGAATTTTGTAAGGAATTGAAGATTAAATCTCCAGGTAATTTATGAAGTTTATTTCTTTCTTGCAGGAGTAAAGACGAAATTTTTTTACGAGTCAAGTATCCGAAACGGGAGGATGCTGGAACTTACACCATCATGGCCTATGTGCCGGATATGTCTACATCCCTGGATGTACATCTTATTGTGGAATGTAAGTGTGATGTATTAAATATAAAATCATTATACCCTTCCTAGAACACCAGAAAAAGTGTACCTGCATGTGACAGCAGTTGCAGTTTGTACCAGGAAGCTGACCCAGTAGCAGGCTTTTCCCTTACATGATTGAGGACTAAATTTTAGGCGACTTTAATACCCTTCAGTGACTTTTTCGCCAGATCATCAGCAAATTTCCCAAAATGAAAATGCTACGGCCTCTTCCCATTTTTTGGGAAAAAAGCCTTGGATTAAAACAAGTTCTCTTTAAAATTTTGTTCTTGCCTATTTATAAATTATAAAATAACAAGTGATATTTTTGTTTGTTTTTTTTTAAATTTTGTTCATGTTTTACTCTAGAATCCAAACAGTGTTTGCTGATTTTCACACCTAAACCCATTTGGTCCGAAAACCTTTCTTATTTGAACTTTTCATCTGTTCCAGACAAGTTTGGATTAGACATGTTCTAATGTATATACATGTATTTTTAAGAATCTTTCCATTTTGAGTAAGAGCTTTTGAATCGATTACAAGTAATTATTCTTTATTTTTACAAGATTTGTGGAAAATAATAAAAAAAAATCATAAAATATAATTATATTTGGAGCAACCAGTTCATACCTTTAATTCCATGAGGCCAATATTATTTTATATCAAGTTTTCGTTTTTAATGGCAAAATTTCTCCATGACAACTGATCTAAGATTATGAGTCTAATGGTCATTCATCTGTCGTGGCTGAAGTCATTAGGGATAATTAGTTATTCTGGTATATTATACAGGGCTGTATTTCATAGAAAGCCCTAAGTGTACCATAAAACCAACATTAGGACTTACTTAAGACCATTTCAAAAAACATTTTTATCTTCAGTAAAATACTGTAGACTATAAAATTAATAAAAATCTGGAAACGAAGTGATCCCTCGGAAGCAAGTTAATCACAACAAAATTACATGAAAATTGCAGACTCAGTTTGATTGAGTCTGTACATAAGGGATAATGAATATGTGCAACATCCGTCACGCCCCCTAGCACCGGCTTGAGCGGTAATCAATTCTCAATACTTAATAGTGCTGGCATCAATGATCCCGAAGGCAAAAAAAATATAACAACACTGAAATAAGTTAATTCTCCTGAGAAAAGATAAGAAATACAATGACAGACCCTTTTATTTGCCATGTTTAAATGCCTATCACTATTGCTATTCAGAAATTAAATGCGTCATAACATAGAGGTCATAAGTTAGGACATTTTCTTTGCAACGCAAAATTGTCTCAGGTTTGTTCTTAAGACTGATTTCAGACTAAGGTCACTTTCTATGAAACACAGCCCGGGAATTCAGGTTTTACATGAATTGGAACACCAATGTATGACCAAAAATGTGTTCAAATCGTAATAATTAATTTAAAAAAAAAAAAAAGATTGAAAAATAAATTTTCCTAAAGAACACCAATCTGTAATTTATTGAAATATTAAATTTACTTTATATAAAGATTGCAGTTAGTTTTTTTTCCATGTAACAGAAAACTAAGGAGAGTTCAAACTCATATTTTTGTTTTTTCAAAAACACAAAGAAATAATTAAACAACCAACATTTTGAATTGCCTTAACAGTTGTTAAGATTTAGTTTTAATTAGTTCATTAAAAATAGTTTTGGCAGCTTATGTTTTTCCTATTTTCTTAATTTTCTACCTCTGTAGTTTATGTGTACATGTTGTGCATGGAAAGAAAGATTAGTTTTATATCTTAATATTCATATTCTTGAGAAATTGCCAATTGAATTGTTTTGTTTTAGAGTAGTTTTACAAGGAGCATTGTGAGTTTGGTGGTGTTTTGTCGAGTTTTTTTTTCTTCTCCGTCTCTTGACTGAATTATATATTTAGCAAATATTTTTTGTAGGTTTTAAGACTGTGATTGCTTTTCTTTTGTTTTTTGGTTTTAATTTTTTTTTTGTATAATTTTTCAGTTTCAGAACATTTCTGTTTTGTTTGTTTTGCTATTTTTAGATACATTGTGAGACTGAGTAATGAATTTGTTACAAACTTAGAAACAAGTGCAGTAAACTACGTTTTACACAATCTGGCTTATTGTTTTTATATTTTGTATGCTTTTATCAAAATGAGCCTTCATTAATGTACCCTTCTGCACATTGGTGGAATGTTTCACTATCGCTCACTTTTTGAAGTAATGTGATCGAGTGTATTCAGTGAGCTACGAAGGGAGCATATCATTAATGATATACAGTCTTGTAACCTTTGTATTCTTAGTACACTTGATTCATTTCTTGTGACAAAATTGGACCAAATATTATATAGAGGATATTTGTTTAGTTTAGTGTAAGATCGGAATTTATTTCACCGTGTGAGCACCAAAAGGTATATTTCACGAGTGGCGCAGCCACAAGTGAAATATAAACTTTTGGTGTTCACAAGGTGAAATATATTTCAATCTTACACTAAACTAAACAAATTTTCTTTTTATTATATGCAACGAAACGTTTTAAAAAGACATTAAACCTAATACTGAATGAAAAGCGCACCAAATAATATTGCACATTGACATCATTAACGACGTCACGTCATAAGGTTAGTTCCCAGTATTGTGCACGCTGGTATTTCACTGAAACAACGTAAGGGGCTTAAATTCAAAACAGTAACAGTTAAGATGATAAAATCTAAGAGACATAGAAGTAGAATTTTTATTACATGCATTTCGGTGGTTTATAGAAATATATCAGTGATATATTTTTTTAAACCATCGAAATGCATGTAATAAAAATTCTACTTCTATGTCTCTTAGATTTTATCATCTTAAATGGACTTGTCCATTTTGACGTAACCATTTACATGGGAACATTTCAAAATAAGTTCTAACTGAATAGCAAACAATGCAAACCATGATCATTTTTGCTAATATTAAAAATGAACTGAAAGTAATATTTACGGTTCATAATATTTGACATATATTTTTTCAGATATTCCTGAGGTTAATATTACATCAGATAACAGAGGATCAGAATACTACCTGACCGACTTCGATCACAAAATCAACTGTTCCGTCAAGTCAGTTCCATTCCCTACAAGAATAGACTGGTTTGAACAAACTTGTGAAAGTCCTACAAATTGTACCATTCACAATGATAAATGGCAGCCAGTCAATCTGACAGACTTAACATCAGCAGTATATCCAAAACAAGTCAGTTTTAAAGGTGACGACCAAAAGACAAACATTAGCCAGTTGATCGTAAGGGACACTAGTGTAGGAAGTTTCAAGTATTATAAATGTACAGGACATAATAAAGTTGGTTCGAAGTCATTCAGATTGCCATATGTTGCAACAGGTATGTTACTAAAAATAAATTTTTATCTTGATGAAGAAGACATTTTCAGATTTTGAATAAAATGCTTGCTCTGAAATATTGGATTTTCCTACACCAATAATAGCTGGTGAGTTGCCATTTTACCTGAACCTGCTGGTAACTTGCCATGTCACTTGAACCTGCTGGCAAGTTGCCATGTCACCAGAACCTGCTGGCAACTTGCCATTTTACATAAAACTGCTGGCAAGTTGCCATTTCACCTGAACCTGCTGGCAAGTTGCCATTTTACCTGAACCTGCTGGTAACTTGCCATGTCACTTGAACCTGCTGGCAAGTTGCCATGTCACCAGAACCTGCTGGCAACTTGCCATTTTACATAAAACTGCTGGCAAGTTGCCATGTCACCTGAAACTGCTGGCAACTTGCCATTTCATGTGAACCTGCTGGCAAGTTGCCATTTTACCAGAACCTGCTGGCAAGTTGCCATTTTATTAGAAACTGCTGGCAAGTTGCAATTTCACCTGAAACCATTGCTAAGTTGCCATTTTACTTGAACCCTGTCAAATTAATTTATTATTTAACCAAAGATATGCTTTTGAAATTCCGGAAATTCCGGGTAAAAGAACAATTGTTTTTTGCTTGGGATTTATCCTTCTTTATTTTATTTAGAACCTTTTTTCTATATAGAATATGGTTATAATGAACAAGATTCTGTAGATGGAGTTGTTGCAGTATATGAAGAACTCTGATGTCTTTTTGATATTGTATGATTTTGACATTTAAATTTCAGATGTGAAAAATGGCTTTGACACCTGGGCACTTGACAGGTATCCAGTTGTTGGGGATGTTGTAAAGTTATATTTTAAAGCAAGTGTTTGGAAGTATTCTAACCTGACCGTCATGAACCGGACTAATGCGGCACAAGGTGATCCTGGTTGGGCAGTGAATAGAACTAACATTACTCATGAAAGGTAGGTCAATGTCAAATATGCTGCGACCAAAACGGTTAAAGCAAACCAAAGTTGAGTAATTGAAAGAAAAAAAAAAAAAAAAAAAAACTAAATGATTAAGAAAAAAAAAATACTGTTGCAAAATGAAGATTGACTGATTAATATATTTTTTGTGATCCCTTTTTGGGGAATGACACTAACCCTGTATTTTAATTGGTAATGAGAAGTATCCCAGAATGCAAATCCGACTTTACACAGGTGCCCATCTGAACATTATTTCAGGCGAAAGTTCATGATATTAAACAGAGCAATATTGTCCATCGGAATAACACATTCATGTTGGTTTGATGTACCATCAGTTAAATGCATAAAAATACTAAGAAAAAAGGAGAGAGTTACTTATTATTATAGAAGGTTAATTCACATTTGTGACATAAAAAATTGATCAAATGCTTTTTATGCAATATGGAAAATCCATCTTGATTTATAGTATTTCTTCCCTTGTAAACTTTGGTATCTTTGCTAGATAATTTTGTATGATAATTCATTTTATTTTTACAGGAAGTTTTGTATGATAATTTGTTTTTTTTTACAGGGAGGAGCATGCAATAAAAACCATTGTTACCATAAGCCCTATCACCAAGTATGACAAACATGATTTTGTAAGCTTTGCATATGATGTCTTTGGCAAGAAGATTAATCGACCAATAGGAAAAATATGGTTGTCAGTTCGAGGTAGGTCTGTTTGTGTGATAATTTCTGACATATATGAGCCGCATCACGACAAAACCAACATAGTGCGTTTGCGACCAGCATGGATCCAGACCAGCCTGCGCATCTGCGCAGTCTGATCAGGATCCATGCTGTTCGCTTACCAACTCTATTACAAGTAGAGAAACTGATAGCGAACAGCATGGATCCTGATCAGACTGCGCGGATGCACAGGCTGGTCTGGATCCATGCTGGTCGCAAACACACTATGTTGGTTTTGTCGTGACACATCTCATATCGATTTATTTTCATTAAGGGCAAATTTCATGATTCAATGATTATTTATTTGAACGGATTTATTTATTTTAACACTTGTAATTTAGGTTTGTCACGTTTCGTGTCTAAAATTTTCATGAAACTCTTATGTTAAAGTCTTCATTTTTTTTCTTGCCCAAGCATTGATTTTCAAGATTGAAAGACAATTAATATTTGTCTTGTGACGTTGCATAATGTCATCCCTCTTCTAAAAGCTTGAAGCTATAGACTTCTAACTGTGACTCGTACTTCTTGGGGAAAGCTATATTTCGAAATATTTAAGGTTAACCGTGGTACTAAATTTAGGTTAAGGGCAGGAACCACAACATCTCTTTGTTCTAACTAGATCTTGTGATTCTTTAAATTTGGAATGGCTAAGTCACTGACATTAAGATACTTAATTGCTCCCAACCCTGGGTTCAAATCCTGCTTATGACTTAAGATTCTTTCTTGAGAAAGCTATCCAGATGGCTTTGGGAAAGTTAGTGGTTCTGCTCAAGTACCTATCTGTTTCTGAAATAATGCACAGAGGAACACCTGAGGTCTTCTTCCATCAGTAAAGTTGGAAAATCACCATATTATGACCTTTACAATGTGTGTATGATGTAAAATGCAAGCACTGTAAACATGTAAGGCTGGGCTTAATCTATTTTGCAACTTGATCAATGTGAATGTTAATTGACTAAATACAATGTATAACATATAATTCCAGGTGGAGGAAAAATTAACGTCAGACATGCAAACTCTTCATTAAAATCTATTTCTGCCTAGATTTTTATCTTGCTTTTAATAAATGTTTAAAAGATATTTTGAGAATAGATAAAGATTTGTTTATTTATATACAGAATACACGGATTATTCTGTTCTAAATTTAGGTGAATTCTTTTAAGTGCATATGAGTCATTGATGCACCTTTGGGGTGGTAACAGTTATTTGGGGTGGTATCAGTTATTTGGGAAATTATCTTTAATGTTTACATTGATTTTATGTTATAAGTTCTGAAGATTTTTGATATGTTAAATGATTGTAAGCTTACATAAGCCTTTAGGAACTAGCATTATGTATCAAACAACCTTATATCATATCATGACATTGATTTCTGTTGAAAGTGCATGCCTGATAAATTTAGCTTTATCAGTCACCATTAACTTCATAAGACACCTCATCAATACATATTGTAATAAAATAAAGAGAATAAAATATTATATCTCATACCAGTTTGAAAATATTAGGGAAAATCCTCTCTCCAGAATGAATATGAGTTTCCATTGAAGAAAAAGCAGAAATATGTTTTATAATGTTTTAATAATGGATAAAAAACATCATTATATAAAGAAAGCAGCCTCAAGTTGAATATGAAATCATTAGTTATATAAATAACCAACCTTTAGCAAAATAGTATTTGTATAACATATAAATCACTGTAAATATACTTGGACTCGTCTTATCAAGGATCATACAGTTTTGGAAATCTGTTCATACAATTTAAATCTACAATTGTTGTATGCTCGATCGTAAGACCAATAATCATGCCATTCAAGGAAATCTTCGTCGTTTGTTAAGACACCACCAAAATAGTATGATTGATATATGACAAGCTTACGATAAAAACAGACACTATCATTGATCCGATGGGCCCCTGATGACTAGAAGGCTAAAGATGGTTTTCCTTTATGGTCATTGAGTAATATTTCAGAAGTAAACTGATTAAACTCTTAAATCATTCTGCTTACAGATATTGTGCTTCCTTCATTTTCTACGGAGCCCTCAAAGACTTTCATTGATGATAATTCATTTGCCTACGACTGCGAGGTTGAAGGTCTACCGAAACCAGTGGTTTCCTGGTACAAGGATTTCGAGAAGTTTGACCCACTGAATATGACAGAGGGATATGACATCGTGGATGAGGGACAGAGGTTTGTGTATTAAATCTCTTACCTAATGTAAACACTGATAATAATTTTTTCTATGCAATGAGGATACAACCATCCCAGCTTTTATGTTAGTGATGACTGACTAGATTCTATGAAACTTTAACAGTTTTCTTACGAAATTATCTGCCCGCTTAGTTCAGAAGTGAGAGCATCAGATTTGTAATTCAGGCATTAATGGTTTGATTATTGGATGTGAGTCTAATGTCATTTGTCTCTCACCTTTGATTTATAAATGGCTGGTCAGTTATGGAACTGGGTAGTAATCCTGAAAGCTGATTAGGACTGACCACTGAGACATGACCAAAAATGTGTTAACATTGAAAATTACAGACTCACTTTGGTGAGTCTGTACATGAAAAACAATGAAAAGGTGCAACATCCCTCACGCCCCCTAACACCGAATATATTTTCTGAAAAATAAAATTTTGATTTCAGGTTGAGAATAAATGCAACTGATGCAAGTTTTAGTGGAATATATACATGTGTAGCGGAGAATAGAGGAGGTTTTACAGCCAGAAATTTCACATTTAAATATGGTTTGTTGTCTTCTTTACTTCCAACAATTACAGTTTTAGCCATTAGACTTAACTTATATGTTGAACATGACCACTGGAATGTTTAGCCTGTAAAAACTCTAACATTTACATTGACATTTTTGCTTGATAGACGATATTTCTAAATTGAGAACATGTATTAACATTTTTAGCCTTTGGATATGATAGGTAGATATTTCAAACAGTATCTTTGTCATTTAAATCTTGCATTTGACATTTTTTCAAGCATTTACATTGACATTTTTGCCATTGGAGGTTGTTTCAAACAATTACATTGACATTTTTAGCCATTGGAGGTTGTTTCAAACATTGACATTTTTTGTCATTGGAGGTTGTTTCAAACATTTACATTGACATTTTTTGTCATTGGAGGTTGTTTCAAACATTTACATTGACATCTTTTGCCATTGGAGGTTGTTTCAAATATTTACATTTACATTTTTTAGCCATTGGACATAAATCTTAACATTACCAGTGACATTATTAGCCTTGACATTATTTCATTACTTCTCTTCTACTTTTTAGCCGTTAGATTCTTTTAAACATTTTCATGGGTTATTTTCTTTTTTACAGACAGACATTTATTGTAGACCATACCATGAACATTTGAAGTCTTTTAACATTCTCATCAAATTTAACCTTTCAGAAATGCACAATCATATTTTCATATTGAACCCATTGGACATTATTTCAGATAATGTTATCAACATCTTTAACCATTGTATAATCTTTAACAATTTTAGCCGTTGTACATTACTCTCAACATTTAAATTTACATTTTTAGCCATTGAACATAATCTTGTTGATTCTCATTGACAAAGTTTATGATTTTGTGGTGAAATATAACAATATCTTTATGTATTTTTTCCCCTCAGCAAAACCATCAGACAGGGCACCTGCATTGGCATCATGGGAGACAACTATTATTATTGTATGTTGTATCGTAGTTGCTGCCCTTGTTGTGGCCTTAGTTGGGCTGTATTGTGTAAACAAAAGACGGTCATTAAACCTTGTAAGTATTTTTTGTTTGTTTTTAACTGAATATAAAATACTGTTTTTCACCCAAGTAACCAATTTTGAAATATGAGTATTTGTTTGGACAGGGGCCTCTTGTGGCAAGATTGTAATAGTCACACCTGAGGTCTTCCTCCACCAGTAAAGCTTGAACGTGGCGATATTACCTATACTGTGTCGATGTGACGTAAAACCCAAAAAACAAACAAACCAATTTTGAAATATGAGTATTTGTTTGGACAGGGGCCTCTGTGCTCACTAACGATCGTGTATTGTATGCCTATGGAGGTTTGTTTCCTGCAAGGGACATTGATATTTGTTGCCTCATCTTGTGTGGAAATTTCTTACTAGTGTTTCTGCATAAGTGCCAGTTTAGTTATGTACCTGAAGTTTTCATCAAAATGAAAAGATAGAAAGTTGCAATATTTGGCCTTAAAATTCAGTCACAAATAAAATAATTAAATGCTCTGTTGTGTCTGTATGATCAAGCTTTTAAGACTATAAAGGAATATGAATTATACTACTGTTATATTTTTGTTTTTTCAGCATAAAGAGTTAGAACAATATTTGGTGCACCAAAAGGGCGAATACAATCCTGACCTGCCGATTGATGAACAGACATCATGTATTAGTTACGATGATAAGTGGGAATTTCCAAAAGAGAGGCTTCGTTTAGGTATAGTTTATAATTTATTTTTCAAAATCTATTTTTTTCTTTGATTTTTAAACACTCAGTTATTTCTAATTTATGAGATTTAAATATGGAAGTTTTAAAATACAATAAATATATAGTATAGAGTCAGGTCATTCTTCATGGTATTACAGGTTGGTCTGACCCTATCATATAGGGACATAGTCGTGTCTTTCATTAACTCTTAAGACTTAGTGCTTTTTTTTTTGCTTTTTTTTAAAGGGAACAATTGTCTCCCTATTATCTTTTGTTTGTATATTGATTGAATGTATTTTTGTTGTACAGGAATGGTGTTAGGACATGGAAATTTTGGTCGTGTTGTGAAAGCTGAAGCTATTGGTATAGTGGAGCATGTGGACGTGTTAAGTGTGGCTGTTAAAATGGTTAAAGGTATGTAGGGTTATTTTAAAACTTTCATTTACATTTATTAACGTGTCTGTTTTGAAGAAAAAGTGGAACTAATATGATTGCTGCCTTGCTTTTGTCATTGTCGTCATCATGCAAAAACCATAATGTAGCCTGTTTCTTAAATAATGCTAATGGTATCAAAATAAAACTTTGAGGTAAGACAAGGGGCATAATTCTGAAAGTAATATGTTAGGAGTAATGCCCCTTTTTAACTTTTTGTTGTTGTCAAATTGCCTTTTAAGTAGAATGATTTCAAAACTATCAACATGAAACTTGAAATACTTGTTTATCATGACATACCCATAACCGAGCCTGCACGTCCCTGCAGTACGACCAGGCTATATACAGTTGGAAAGCTCAATGTGTTTCATTATTATTATGAAATCCCTCAATTTTCATATATAGACTATTCCAAAGTCAAAGCTGGGTATTAAACAAATTTAGCATGTTAAGTGTGCAATACCTATATTAAACAATGGAGAGTTCGAGAATCAAAGCAGGACAAGTTCATTATACAAATTTAGGTTAATTTTGTGACTATTTTTATTACAGATTGTACTGACAGACACCAGATTATGACGTTACTATCAGAACTTAAGATTCTTATACATATTGGCCAGCATCTAAATATACTGAATCTGCTAGGAGCTGTTACCAAAAATATGGCCAGAGGTACGAATCAACACTTTCTTTTAAGTTGATAAATTAGAAATTCTGATTTTTTAATTGACTATATTTGAAGATAAAAGTTGTATATCCCTCACAAGATTGGAAAATATTTCCTTAATAATAACTGATGATTATATGTATTTAATCTTCAAAAGATACTTTAAATCAGTTTTAATACAATATCTTAGGAACTTGACATATGAATGAAATGTATGGGGAAAAAAAGAGAATATACACATGAATAAACTTCTGTACTGAACTGATTTATGTCCCTTTGTATCTTTAAAGTAATGTTTCTTTGACAATTTTTGTTTGTTTTGCTAATGCCTTTATTGCTATATCTTTGCAGGTGAACTTTATGTTATAGTAGAGTACTGCCATTTTGGAAGTTTACGTGATTACATATTAAAACACAAGCATGAGTTTCAAGACACCATGAATGACGACTATCTTGACCCAGTGACCCAGAAAATGAAAGAAGCTGGCGATCTTGCACCGGAAGAATCTCCATTGGCCCCGTCAGCAGACCCAGAAATACACAAACCGTTGTCGTCTGCAAAGAAACCATATTATATGAATAAAGCAGCTCCTGACCACACAGGTGCTGCAGTAGGACCACCTCTCACGAAGAAAAATATGATATCGTGGTCATTTCAAGTAGCGAGGGGAATGGAATATCTAGCTTCCAAAAAGGTAGTCAACACATCTTAAATAATACACTATCTATATAATAATACACAGGTTTGAACTGGAAGTGAGACTAGTGGAAATCCAGCATAAGTAGTGTACAGTATAGGTTAGAATTATGCATTGTTTTAATGGATGTTTTTAAGATTTAGTATATGCATAAGGGTAGTCAGAAGAGAATTTTTATCTAGAAAATACATTTTAAAAAAGGTCAATTGATATTTCAATAATTGAAGTAGGATAAGCTAAATATGCTACAGACAATTGTATCCCTGGCTCACCAACCCAATTGAAGTGTGTGGGATAGCAAGGGAAATTAGCCAAGCATTTTCTATAGGTCTGGCACTGTACAGTCATGTCAATGTGCAGTGTTTTTGTTTTGAATTGAAATTAAAATTGAATATGACCAACTGGTATTGTTGGGGCATATAGCAGGAATTTTATCATATGACTATTCCTGCACGACAGGACCTTTACTACAGATTAAATAATAGAATATCAGACTCTGCAATATTCCATGAAGGTGATTAAGTGGGGGTTTTCTATAGACTGGGCATTGTATCAAGGTGAAGGGGTTGAAATGAATATATTACAGGAAGTAAAAACTTGTATTATATTTTCAGTATATACACAGAGATCTGGCTGCCAGAAATGTGTTGCTGGCAGAAGACAATGTTGTCAAGATATGTGACTTTGGTTTGTCAAAAGACTGCTACAAATATGCAAATGAGGAGTACAGGAAGAAAGGAAGTGTAAGTATGGATACGATACTGCAAGTTTGTAACGTCACTTTTCATTGGATAATCATGATGTTTATATATACTATATATACAGCTGTTGTAAGTATGTGTATAGGAACATGCTGTTGGTTCAATTAGAGAAATGACACTAGAAGGTTTATGAGCAAAAGATTTTTTGCATCTGTCTCAGAAACTTAAATGAAGCTTTTTGGGGCTACTGTTGTTAAGTGGTTAATGTCACCGAGTCCATTCAAATTGCTCTAGAGAGTATGGATTTTTTCATACGAGAAATCTCTCCAGCTAGCATACAGGAGGTTAGAGGTGCTTGTGCTTGAAAAAGTACAGAAAAAAAGTACTTCAGGCCTTGATTTTGAGACAGGTCTCACCATTATGACTTTTACAGTACATGTATAAAGCCCCAGTCACATTAGAGTTTAAGACCAGTAAAGACCAGTTCATGATCACCAGTGACCATTGGTCGCGGACAATCTTTAAAACATCTTACGTTGGTTATTGGTGATCTTCGATAGTCGCAGGTTATCTTATTTAGGTCTCACGACCAATTTCAGTTGTAGAGAGGTTTTTGAGCTTGCACAAAAAAAACCTCTCTGCGATAAAACAGGTTGCTTGTGATCTTATAAGGTCTTAGGCTGTCGCACAATCATCGCTGGGAAGTGCGATAATCTTACGACAGTCTTTACAAATTTCCACTAGTCACTAATAATCTTGAGTAGTCTTTAGTAATTGTGTGATGGTCGTACGACAAGTTGTAGGTGATCGCATGACAGGTCACAAGTAGTCGTAAGTAATCCCAGGCAATCTTGAGACCATCGTACGTTTGCTGATGACCTGTCATGCGATTGTCAATGATGATTGTTCATACTATAATCGCAGAAGTAAATTTATCTGTTCAAAGAAGGCTTGGTCGCAGACAATCACCGATGATCGTCGGTTTTACACTTTGCCGGTAGGCGCAAGTAATCATAAGCTCGTGACTGGGGTTTAAGATAAAATAAGATTATTTTTTTAAAAAGGCTCAACAAATATTTCTAATTTTATCTAAATGATACATTCTCTTTGTAACTCTTGTATGCAATTTAACAATCAAAATAATTTTATCTATGCAAGGAAAAAATATTAGTTTTATTTATGCATAAACTGTTTTACAGGGCCCAGAACCATTGAAGTGGATGGCAGTAGAGTCTCTCACACACAAAGTATATACCACTAAAAGTGATGTGTAAGTTTAGCTTAAAATTATATCATTACTCATTTCTATAACTATGTAGTCAGTAATCTTAATGATTATAAAAGGCATGGTCAGTCATATACGATTCTGCTGACTTGTCTGGCTCTATATTGGTTGCAATGGAAATTTTAGATTCTAGCTATGTAAAGGGGAATCTGTAAGAGTACTCATATTTATCAACATATTTATCAAATTTTTTCTAAATGCTGATATAGATAATGGCATTATCATAAAGCTAATTCTTCCAGTTTTCTTATTAGATAGACCACACCAGACTTATACCAATAGTATAAAACACAAGCTTGCTTCTTGAGTAATCTTGCCAGACTGTCCAGCCTGCTGCTCAATATTTTAAGTTGTTTGATTGTATCAGTCCAAGAAGTATCAATTTATATTTGAATGCTTGAATTTAAATCAGAACATACTTGTTACACATTTGCAGTGTGGTTGAGATTTTGATTACTGGTATACTTTTATGTTGTGTTATGAAATGCTTTCTTCAGTAATAAGCTTCAAGTGTGCTGCCATTTTGTATAGATGATAATAGCGTAAAAATTGGTCTATTTCATTTTATATATGTACTTTAACAACTATTTCAGCTGGTCGTATGGTATATTCCTATGGGAAGTTTTCTCTCTAGGAGGAGTGCCGTATCCTGGTATTGACCTGAACAAGATTACTAGGATGATTCAGGACGGGTACCGCATGGAACAGCCCGCCCAGGCCTCCGATGAAATGTACGTAAATTCTGATAGATATTCATCAACTTTTTTTTGTCATCGATTCTGGCATATATTATTTGTGTAATTTTAACATGTATAAATGTTTAGTTTAAAATTTTCTAATTATGTGCAATATTACATTTGTATAAGTTTCCTTCCTAGCTCAATAAGGAGAGCATCTGATTTGTGATACGGGAGTCCCTTGTTTCATCCACAAGTGAGGGAAATTCCTGTCTGTGTAACAATTGTTCCTGAACACCTAATAGTCATTTGTCTCTTACCACTGATTCATAACTCAAGTTTAATTAGTAGTTAGTGTATATAAATTTCATTTAGTTAGATTGTGTTGGAAGCTTAAGGCTTATAGAAACACTCCAATTTGGAATCAACCAGTACTAAGCAATGTGTGTGAAGTTTGTTTCCTAGGAAACAAGAGCTAGCCCCTGATTGGGTTTGAACCAACATGGCAAGCAATCCTTTGATTACTTGTCCAACACTTTTGTCATTGGGCCATGCAGCGACATCAAATTAGTAGTTGGTTGTTTGCATAGAAATTAATAAATACTTGTAAGTTATTTAGCAAAGCTGGCCAGGTAGACAAACCGCCGAGATAGGACCGAATATGTGTCAAAACCGGCCTAAAACCCAGGCATACAAACTTCTGCATATTAGGGTTCTATTGCCTATTGTTTAATATACAGATACAATGTGATGTTGGCTTGTTGGAGGACAGACCCTGAGGAAAGACCAACATTTACTAATCTAGTCAATGACATGGGCGATTTCCTAGAAGATAATGTAAAACAGGTACAGCTTCTTTGTTAATCAAACTGTAGCGCTTGATATAAATAAACAACATGATATGAAGTATGTAAGTCAAGCTAGTAAAAGTACATGTATATAAAAAGTTCCTGGCACTTCCGACTTGATAATAATACACAATGTAGAAAAAGCACATAAGTCTCACCACGGAATACAGCAACAATTATTAAATAATTTTCCTGTTTGTATATGACTGAAAAGTTCTTTAATTATTTGGTTTAGTTTATACTGTTTCTGTTATTTACAACCACTTGCCCCTCACCGCTGTGGGTTGGAATCCCGACAGGGACTTTGGATTCTTTCATGTGAGGAAGCTATCCAGCTAGCTTACGAAACGTCGGTGGTTCTACTCAGGTGCCCGTTTGTGCTTGAAATAATGCAAGGAAGGGGGCCTGAGGTCTTCCTCCACCAGTAAAGCTGGAACGTCGCGATATGACCTAGACTGTGTCGGTGTGACGTAAAACCCAAAACAAACAAACTGTTATTTACAAATAACTCTGATTATATGATGTGTAGCTTACACAACTTTCACACTTTGCTGTGCTGGTACATCATTATCACGGCATGCATTGAATACCCAATAGTGTATGAAATATATTAATTTGGAAAGAAAAAAGATGTGCAGTCATGGTGTGGGAAAATTAAGAAAAATCTGTTACTTATAGGAGCATTAGATTTTATATATTAGTAGCATACATTTAAAAGAAATAAGATTCATGTGTTATTCAAAAGATGTTGATTGAATTCTTCTTTTTTTGAGAAAAAAGGGCATGAATATTGTTATTCATAAAATCTAATGACTTTTATATCTTAATCTGTATATATTTCAGTATTATTTGGATCTTGGTTGCAATTTTGACGGGGATGATGATGCAGGTGCAGAAGGAGCGACAGGTTTTGAGCCTGGATATCTAAGTATGAACTCGATGGCTATAGAAGAGCCTACTGATTATACAAAGATGTCATTAGCCCCGCCCCCACCGACAGATCCTCCCACAACTGTAGACTTGATGAAGTCTAGTGATACTGATAAGTTAATTGTGGATTTAAAGCGAAGTAAGAAAGAGGAGGATGAGGAAGAGAGATATGTGAATTTTGATTTAACTAAAAAAAATGCAGCCAAAGATAGGTTGAAAAATAAGCAACAAGACTTAGAGGTTCAGCCTCTTATTCACAATGTGGATGAAATTCAGACAAGAGATTCTCCCGGGCGGAGAAAACGTCTTGTAAACGGGTCACCGGTTCGGTTAAATACACAGGCAGAAGTTCATGGTAATGATGACAGTGATAGTGGACATGAAAGTTTCGCTCCTGGCAGTTCGCCAGATAAAACTGAGGAAAATGACGGTTATTTGTCACCAAAGAGTTTGACCATGCAGGATGTGCCAATGTTTGAAGTGAATGGCATAACCCCTACAAAGGGGGGAAACTCTAAGAATGTAGGAAACGGGAAAGCTAGATTATTATCTGATGGGTATAATTTCAACGACTTTCCGCCTCCAGATTATAGAGCTGTGATGGAATCCACTGAAACCAATGTCTGAAAGCAAAGGTTGTATGGCCAGTCAAGGTCATTTCTTCATACCAAAAAAAAACTTACATCGCAGCTGTTCCATTTTACTCCCTATGGTAGTTTAATCTTTTAGATCAGTTATTTTGACAAAACGGAAGTGCTACAATCAGAAGTTGTGCAATACTTTGATTTTTATTGTTAATAGAATGGTAAAATTGCTAAACAGTTTAAAATAGTTTTAAGTTTAAAAGTTTTTGTTGTGCATTATAGGTTATCAGTTTTAAAATAAAATAAGAGAAGAGTTATGCATCAAGTTTCATTATGATTATACATGTCAATACTTAACACATGGTTAACACAGCACCAAATGCATATAAGACATGCCTGAATAAGTAGCATAATGTGTTCTGCCTAAATAGGTAGAAAAATGTGCTATTTTGGTACATGTGTTATGCCTAAATAAGTTGCAAAAGTGTGCTATTTTGGCACAAGTGTTTTGCCTAAATAGGTTGAAAATGTGCTGTGTTGGCACATGTGTTATGCCTAAAATTGAAAAATTTTGCTATTTTCGTAAAGGTGTTTTGCCTAAATAAGTAGCAAATTGTGCTATTTTGGCACACATATTGTTAGCTGTCATATTTTTATGATGTCATCATTTCATCAATATTATTGTAATGTTAAGTTGTTAATTTTCATGTCACAAAAAATAGGAACCAAAGAAACTTATGGCTTTTGTTATTTGTTCATCAGATGTTGGTCACATTATATGTATTGTTCTTTAACATTTTCAACTGCTGAATGAAAACTTCATCATTTACCTGTAAACATGTATTACTAATGCTACTTACTTTTTTTATAAGATCTTTGTGATAATTTAGAGGTTGCAATTTGATAGAGGTATGCGTATATGAAGTTGCCATTGTTGGTAGTTCTGTTAAGTTAAAATAAGTAAATAAAAGCACACATTTTCTTTACAAAGGAATCCCAGATTATTCTTTACAAAGGATGACTGTATTTTTCTTTACATAGGATAACTGCATTATTCTTTACAAAGGATAGCTTTTTTATTCTTTACAAAGGTTATCTACATTATTCTTTACACTTTGTGTTATTGCATTATTCTTTACAAAGGATAAAAAGATCCCTGTGTTCTGTACAAAGGTTATCTACATTATTCTGTTCAAAGTGTTACTGCATTATTCTTAATAATGGATAGCTCTCTATTCTTTACAAAGGATAGTTGTATTAGTATTGAAAATTGTTTATTTGGTATATGGAGTCAGCTATAAATGAAGTGTTTTTGTATTAATATAATTTATATTGTTATTAAAATTTGCCCTAAAAATAAGGCAGGACCTCTGCCTTAAGGCATGTTTCTTTAGCATAATGCAACCTCTATTGATCAAAGTAAAAAACATGTGCCTTTAAACTAGGTCTTACTTTAATACTCAAAACTAGTCTTCCAAAATTTGAACAAGTGCCTGTTATTGCAGTGTTTTATTAAGATAGATTTTTCAGGGAATTCCTTGTTTTATTAAGATAGATTTTTCAGGGAATTCCTTTTTTTCTCAAAATTTCCACTTTTGTGCCTTAAAAAGATGTTTCAGGGAATTCCCCTTTTTCTTCAATTTTTTACTTTTGTGCCTTATATTTTTATAGTGTGAAAATGTCACAGGTTTCTGTAATAATTTTGTTCACTATATATCTTCTAACATATGTGAAATGAATTTTCCCTACTTTGAATCTGGAACAGTCCTTTCAAAGTTTTGTATGAAAATACAAAATTGAGCAATCAACAGTACAGCACAGTTTTGCAGGCTGGCCTGGCTCTATACTTGTGGCAAAGGCTGAACGTTTTCAGTTTGAGCAGGATGAATGATATGTATGTTATTTTAATAAAAAGATCATTGTATTGTCCAAGATCTCAACAGTTTAAAAAGATCTGTCTGTTTTTAAGTAAGTAATTGTCAGAAGATACAAAAGACAATTTAAGAGTGCAATCTGAAGTAGATTTTCTGCAAGAAACGAAATGACTTGTAGCAGTGGTAATTTTTCATCATTTTTTTTAAAAAAAATTTTAATATCATGAGGATACATTCATTGTTGCATGAATCATGTGCTTTGAACTCATTATATTTTTGTCCTACTTAAGTGGTTTTTATTCATGAATTCAGAAGTCTGAGAACATGTCATCTATTTATTTGATTAATATATCTCCAAAGAAAATATTTGGAATCTTTATCATGTATCTACTAGTTAATGACCACTACTTATCGAAGTAGAAACAGTAAATGGCATAATCATAGATGTTTATGTTTTTGATGCACTTTGGGTGTTATGTTTTTTTTGTGTGTTTTTTTGGTGTACTTTATTTTTTTGAGAAATTGCTATAGAAACTTGTCCTTGTGCATGAAACTCGTACAATATGTAAGAGAAATTTCACAAGAAGAAAAAGTTAAGGAGTTAAAGTGACATTATGCCAATCCAAGTGTAAAAGATCAGTAAACAGGTAAAAATAAAAATAACTTAACAATTTCCCAATAATTGTGTTCAATTTTGTATTTTGCTATGAAAAAATGATCAATAATTCATTTGACTAACAGAATTTTCCATAAATCTCGTTCAGAATGTATAAGTAATGCTCAACTCTTAAATAGAGTGAGACAGTCTTATTATTACTTAGGTACTTTTTACCTTGTGTGATACACATATTTCATTATCAATTATTGGTCAATCACCATTATAATAGCCAACCTTTAGAAATATATTACTAATTCAACTTAACTTGACCTCAAAAAGTAAGCATAATGTCACTTTAAGTTTATGCAAAATATGCATTTTCTGCCTTATTTAACACAGTTACAGTCCTTTAACTCATTGATTGTGGAATATACATATATAATGCAGTTATTCCCCTTTGTTTTCAATTTAATTGAAAATATTAAATGCAGTTACTGCCCTTGTTTTAAATTGATTGTAATGATTTGATGCAATAATTGCCCTTTGTTTTTAGCTCACCTGTCACAAAGTGACAGGGTGAGCTTTTGTGATCGCTTTTCGTCCGGCGTCCGTCCGGCGTCCGTAAACTTTTACTTTAAATGACATCTCCTCATAAACCACTTGGCCAATTTCATCCAAACTTCACAGGAATGTTCCTTTGGTGGTCACCTTTAAAAATTGTTCAAAGAATTTAATTCCATGCAGAACTCTGGTTGCCATGGCAACCGAAAGAAAAAACTTTAAATATCTTCTTTTAAAAAACCCTAAGAGCTAGAGCTTAGATATTTGGCATGAAACATCTTCTAGTAAGAGTCTACCAAGTTTGTTCAAATAAAAGCCCTGGGGTCAAAATTGGCCCCGCCCCAGGGGGTCATTGATTTTCCCTATATGCATATAGTAAAAACTTACAAAATCTTCTTTTAAAGAACCCAAAGAGCTAGAGCTAAGATATTTAGCTTGAAACATGTTCTAATGAATGTCTACCAAGTTTGTTCAAATAAAAGCCCTGGGGTCAAAATTGGCCCCGCCCCAGGGGGTCATTGATTTTCCCTATATGCATATAGTAAAAACTTACAAAATCTTCTTTTAAAGAACCCAAAGAGCTAGAGCTAAGATATTAAGCATGAAACATCTTCTAGTTAGTGTCTACCAAGTTTGTTCAAATTAAAGCCCTGGGGTCAAAATTGGCCCTGCCCCGGGGGTCATTGATTTTCCCTATATGCATATAGTAAAAACTTAAAAAATCTTCTTTTAAAGAACCATAAGAGCTAGAGCTTAGATATTTGGCATGAAACATCTTCTAGTGAATGTCTACCAAGTTTGTTCAAATAAAAGCCCTGGGGTCAAAATTGACCCCGCCCCAGGGGGTCATAGATTTTCCCTATATGCATATAGTAAAAACTTAAAAAATCTTCTTTTAAAGAACCCAAAGAGCTAGAGCTAAGATATTTAGCATGAAACATCTTCTGATGAGTGTCTACCAAGTTTGTTCAGATAAAAGCTCTGGGGTCAAAATTGGCCCCGCCCCAGGGGGTCATTGATTTTCCCTATATGCATATAGTAAAAACTTAAAAAATCTTCTTTTAAAGAACTCAAAGAGCTAGAGCTGAGATATTTAGCATGAAACATGTTCTAATGGGTGTTTACCAAGTATGTTCAAATAAAAGCCCTAGGGTCAAAACTGGCCCCGCCCGGGGGGTTGGGGGGGGTCATTTATTTTCCTTTTATGTGTATAGCAAAAACTTAAAAATCTTTTTTGGAAAAACCCAAATAGCTAGAGTTAAGATATTAAGCATGAAACATCTTTAAGTAAATATCTACAAAGTTTGTTAAAATAAACGCCCTGGGGTCAAAACTGGCCCTGCCCCAGGGGTGACATTGTTTTTAACTATATGTGTATAGTAAAAACTTTAAAAATCTTCTTTTAAAAAAGCCAATGAGCTAGAACTTAGATGTTTAGCATGAAACATCTTCTTATGGGTGTCTACCAAGTCTGTTCAAATAAACAAATAAAAGCCCTTGGGTAAAAATTGGCCCCGGGGGTGGGGGGGGGGCTATATACAGGTGAGCGACCTCAGGGCCATCATGGCCCTCTTGTTATGTTAGTGATACATCATTTTGAAAAAAAACAACTTTGTTATGTCAATAACTGATTATTTATTAAGATGTCATTTACTTATAATTTGTAATTGGGTTATATATTTTCATATATACATGTATCTGAAGAATATATGAATGAAAAAGACTTTTGAAATTGATGAATAAAAACCCATATGTGATTTCTAGATTGCCAATGTGTTCAGTATTAAAAGCTATACATTTTGTATTGTTTCATAATTAATTGTAAATGGTACATTTTGTGTAATTTCTCTGAAGGTCAACCGGTTCATTTACTTACTGTTTGTATTAACAGCTTTGTATATATGATTTTTTAGCTTTTAAAAAGCATTTCTTGTTTAATATTGGTCTCATTTAATATTTGTTTATTTCTGTCTTATCATTTATTTGTATACTTTACAATATATAATCTTAATATTGCAGTTAATTAACTTTTAGATTTCTTATGCCTTGTTCACTTGCCCACACCTACTCTCATGAGAACCCACCATATTTTATTAGACCACACCTACATCAGTATACCACACCTACTTCATAAGACCACACCTTCTTCATAACACCCCCACTTTATTAAACTTAACCTTCAAGAGACCATGTCTTCTTCACTTAATGAAAACAAACAAAAAGAACAAATCACACCTTCTTTTTAAATACACCTTCCTTCCATGTGCACACCTCTAACTGAACTACCTTAGCCTTGAAATCACTTAAAGTTAAATAATCTTACAACATGTTATACATAACATAAACATTCTTTCTATCATATTTTTTTTAGGTAAAAAGACATTTATAACAAAGCCTTTACTGACATTTAGCAGTTGACAGTTTCTCTCTTCGTAAAAAATTGTTGAAACTATTAAAGATATTACAGAATATTTTCTTGAAATTTATCAGTAGGGTAAAAGAATGGGTAAATAATGGACCTTTCCAGTGTTTTACAGTTTTATGTAAATCGACTAAATTGTTGTCCAGTTGCTACCTTGAGATAATACATAGTCACTGGTTGACCTGGTTTGCACAAAAGAACACATGGTTATGTTTGTGATACTGTTTGTGAGCAGATGACCGAGCAATGAATGGAAAACGTGTGGCTAAATGTTCAGCTAGGAAAAACAGGAAAGGTCCATAATGCATGAAAAATGAACAGTTTATTAAAACGTTTTATGTTAGAGAATGGTATATGATGGTAAATTTTATTGCATAAACATTCCTTTAATAATTTGTTACTTTAAACAAACTCCACTGCGGTCAAAAAGTCTTAAAACATAAAATCTTAATGTCTTCATTTCTTACACAGATCAACTAGTGGACTTAATAAAAGAAATATGCAATATGCTCAGGACTAAATTGAAAATCGTATTTTTTATGCAATTCTTAGCCCATTTTCAGTTATAAGTGTTTGAATGCTTATAGTTCAAAATAATTGTTGTGAAAAATCAGGCTAAGCAAATGATCTTAATATTTAGACATAAGTTATTCCTACAGACCTACATCAAATGGTATATAAATCTTGAAAAATAAAAAACAAATCCTGACATGTCAAAAAAAATCTCAGTGGAGTCCTTTAAACAAGAAAATTAGAACTGTTTATTCATATTATTGATGCTTGAAGTTATATTTATATTTTTTTTTTCATTAATAATGTAACGTCAATATTTTTAAAAAAAAAACACACCTCCATTTTAAAGTGGTTACGGTTAATAACCTATGCACTGCCAGGCTGTCATTTTTATTCTTAGATTTGGGTAGGCTCAGGCTAGTTAACAGAAGGTTGTTGATTTTATATTCGGCTGACCCCTGTACATGACACAGTACAGGCATAGTCTTATTTTATAAAAAGTTCAGATTGTTAAATCATTTTTCTATTGTAGATTGTTATTGTTATGAAGTTCATGTTAAGTCTGAAAAGGTAAAAATGTCTTATTTCTTTGAAGTTTTTGTTAAAAGTTGTTTGGTCCTGTTTTAAGCATATTTTAACTCTTATATCATTTTATAGATTCACTAAAGATTGTGCAAATAGTTATTGCAGTTTATAAACTGTTTGTGTATTTAAACTTCTTACAAGTATTTGAATAAGTTATGTCCCTTTGTTTTTTTTGGTTTTTTTGTACCTAGATTAGAATCCATTATTCTACTCCAACCTTTTAGAAATTTTACATATTTTTACAGTGTTTTGTTTGCTAGCATAATGATCGTATATAGGGGCAAAGTTTGGGGAAACATAGTAAAAAATCTATCATCTTGTTTATATGAGTCATATGGGCTAAATAAGAGGAAGGGTAAAAGCTTGTACCTGTGCCCATGATGGAGATTTATGAGTTTTAAAGGAACTCCACTGAGGTCCATAGGCCTTAAACTATAACATTTGAAAATCTTACAAATATCAAGTTAAGCATTTAAAACAGAAAACAGCAAAGGATGATAAAGAAATATACTCGGAATTAAATTAAAAATTAAATTTTGTTAAATTTTTAGCTGGATTTGAGTGAAAAGCATACAACACCTGTCATTTTTGGGGTCATTCGCCTGACCACTATAGGCAGGTAAGACTGTATTCTTTGTTACAGTGACGGGAATGGGGGTCTACACAAAGGCCACAACATGTTATATATCACCAGCGAGTACTGACCCAGTGTCAACAACATAATAGCCAAAGATAGGAATGTTAAGTTGATTTCTGTTCTAATTACAGAAGTAATTATGTGGGTACTTTCCAACTTTGCCCCAGTGTACTTTGATGGGATCATGTTTTGAACAACTGACCAATTTTTGCCTTATAGAATTTATTTTCTGTTCTTTTGCTGTTGTTGTTAAAACTTTTTCAGTCATGTATTTTTTAGAAAACATTTTGTGATGTCAGTATCATAAATGTACTCCTAGAGGTTTTGTATTAATGTTTTTGCAAGATGTACATTATTTATTTTGGACATAAATTGCCCAAGTTCAGTAAAATGACAGTGGTTCTTTATTGTCCTGAAATTTTAAGATCTGTAATTTTCATAGATTGAACCAGTTCAGTTGTTCTTACCTCCCTTGCTTACTTTGTTTTAATCAAGTTACCTCCCTTGCTTAATTTATGTTTAATCAGTTACCTCCCTGCTAGATTTATGTTTAATCAATAACTAATAAAACAGGTAAATGCAAATCATGATAAAAATAGAAAGAGTCTTTAAAACAAACTTGATCTCACTTGTGTAAAGAGATTATTTGAGATTTTATATCACACCCATTTCTTTTGATTAGCATTTGTTTTTAAAAGTCTTTGCTCTACATATATTGTTAAGTAAAAAAATATATAAAAAAGTAATAAGAGAAGTTAATATCTGTCACCTACTTATTGGCCAAAATTTAATGTAAAATATAGGACTTTTTACTATTTATCTAATGATTCCTAATGAAATTCAGAAATTAGTAAAAACAGTGCTGTAGAGAAAATAACTTGAATAAATCCATGAAAATAACAAAAACAAAAACACAACAGGCTGAAGAGTAAAATAATGATTAAGAAATCTGAATGAAACAAAATATTATTTGGGTATAATTTCTTATATATATTTTTTTCCAATCTAATTGATAATCAGTATTCCTCATATTTAAATGTGTATATATTGTTTGTGTATAATTTATGGAGTTTGTTAAACTTGTTTTTACCTAAATTCCAGAACTGAACAAATGTTTTTGAATCTTTTAGGATCTTTAGATCTTTAAAATTTTATCCTTTTTACTCATATTTGGAACTTTTATTTTTCTACCATTGTTTACTTGAATAGTTGAGTCAGAGGCGAATATAAAGGTTTGACTATAAGTCAACCTCAACTTGACTCTATTATCATTTATTGACCTTCCACAATTAAATTGACCTTGATGCAACATCAGCCTGGAATATTTAACCTTAGTTTGACCGTAATTATTATCATTAATTTACCTTAAAATACCCTTGAAACATTAAATTGACATTTAACAAATATGAAGATTAACTTGTGGTCATAAATGATGGAAACTCATCAAATGCTTTTACCGCTATATCCATTGATAAATTGTTCTTAAACATAATTATTGGAAACTTTTTTAGCAACACACATTGTTAGTCATGCCACACAATCTCATCATTTAACACCATGTGTGTAATTTCATATGCCTGTGTATGTGTTTGGTGCAGTTCCAATTTTGTGTAATTTTCATCGAGAAGGTACTAAAGAGTTTGCACTAAATTCTCGGTAAAGATGTGTTCGTATTTTGTTATATTATGTAACATAAACAGCTGTAATTGTTGTATATTTTCAGAGACTTCAATCTTTTTTGTAGATATAATGTAATTATATAATTAATGTATTATATATATATTGTACATTTTTTAAGACTGCCATATTGTTTATTAGTTGTTATGCCATATTGGATTTTAGATAGTTTTTGACCAATGTCATCATATATAATACAGAAAAATAAAAAAATATTTCAAACTATCAATGTCTTTTTTATGGTTCAGTTTTGTCTGCAACAAGTTAACTTTGTTATTATTGAAATAAAAATGTCCTGGTACAAGATTTTTCAGTTACAAGGGATAAGATTTATCAGCTGTGGAAAGGTATTCTGAGGATCTAAAGTTCTTATCCCTGATATTTTTCTGACCTCACTGTACGAGAGAAAAAAACATATTTAGAAACAGGAACCTCCATGGCCAATTGGTGGAGGTTTGTGATGACCAAGTCGTTGAGGTTTGTGATGGCCGAGTGGTTGAGGTTTCTGATGACCAAAAGGTGGAGACTTCTGATAGCCATGTGGTTGAGGTTTCTGATGGCCAAGTGGTTGAGGTTTCTGATGGCCAAGTGGTTGAGGTTTCTGATGGCCAAGTAGTTGAGGTTTCTGATGGCCAAGTGGTTGAGGTTTCTGATGGCCAAGTGGTTGAGGTTTCTGATGGCCAAGTGGTTGAGGTTTCTGATGGCCAAGTGGTTGAGGTTTCTGATGATCAAGTGGTTGAGGTTTCTGATGGCCGAGTGGTTGAGGTTTTTAATGACCAAGTAGTTGAGGTTTCTGATGGCCAAGTGGTTGAGGTTTCTGATGGCCAAGTGGTTGAGGTTTCTGATGGCCAAGTGGTTGAGGTTTCTGATGGCCAAGTGGTTGAGGTTTCTGATGGCCAAGTGGTTGAGGTTTCTGATGGCCAAGTGGTTGAGATTTCTGATGGCCAAGTGGTTGAGGTTTCTGATGGCCAAGTAGTTGAGGTTTCTGATGGCTAAGTAGTTGAAGTTTCTGATGGCCAAGTGGTTGAGGTTTCTGATGGCCGAGTGGTTGAGGTTTCTGATGGCCAAGTGGTTGAGGTTTTCTGATGGCCAAGTGGTTGCGGTTTCTGATGGCCAAGTGGTTGAGGTTTCTGATGGCCGAGTGGTTGAGGTTTCTGATGGCCAAGTGGTTGCGGTTTCTGATGGCCAAGTGGTTGAGGTTTCTGATGGCCGAGTGGTTGAGGTTTCTGATGGCCAAGTGGTTGAGGTTTCTGATGGCCAAGTGGTTGAGGTTTCTGATGATCAAGTGGTTGCGGTTTCTGATGATCAAGTGGTTGCGGTTTCTGATGGCCGAGTGGTTGAGGCTTTTAATGACCAAGTAGTTTGAGGTTTCTGATGGCCAAGTGGTTGAGGTTTCTGATGGCCAAGTGGTTGAGATTTCTGATGGTCAAGTGGTTGAGGTTTCTGATGGCCAAGTGGTTGAGGTTTCTGATGGCCAAGTGGTTGAGATTTCTGATGGCCAAGTGGTTAAGGTTTCTGATGGCCAAGTGGTTGAGGTTTCTGATGATCAAGTGGTTGAGTTTCTGATGGCCGAGTGGTTGAGGTTTTTAATGACCAAGTAGTTGAGGTTTCTGATGGCCAAGTGGTTGAGGTTTCTTCTGATGGCCAAGTGGTTGAGGTTTCTGATGGCCAAGTGGTTGAGGTTTTTAATGACCAAGTAGTTGAGGTTTCTGATGGCCAAGTGGTTGAGGTTTCTGATGGCCAAGTGGTTGAGATTTCTGATGGCCAAGTGGTTGAGGTTTCTGATGATCAAGTGGTTAAGGTTTATGATGGCCAAGTAATTGAGGTTTCTGATGGCCAAGTGGTTGAGGTTTCTGATGGCCAAGTGGTTGAGGTTTCTGATGGCCAAGTGGTTGAGATTTCTGATGGCCATGTAGTAGAGGTTTCTGAAGGCCAAAAGGTTGCAGTTTTTGATTGCCAAGTAGTTGAGGTTTCTGATGGCCAAGTAATTTAGGTTTCTGATGGCCAAGTGGTTGAGGTTTCTGATGGCCAAGTGGTTGAGGTTTCTGATGGCATGTGGTTGAGGTTTCTGATGGCCAAGTAGTAGAGGTTTCTGAAGGCCAAAAGGTTGCAGTTTTTGATTGCCAAGTAGTTGAGGTTTCTGATGGCCAAGTAATTTAGATTTCTGATGGCCAAGTAGTTAATGTTTTCGATGGCCAAGTAGAGGTTTCTAATGATAGCCAAGCGGTTGTGATTTCTGATGGCCAAAAGGTTGAAGTTCCTGACGGCCATATGGTTGAGGTTTCTGATGGCCAAGTGGTTGAGGTTTCTGATGGCCAAGTGGTTGAGGTTTCTGATGGCCAAGTGGTTGAGGTTTCTGATGGCCAAGTGGTTGAGGTTTCTGATGGCCAAGTGGTTGAGGTTTGTGATGGCCAAGTGGTTGAGGTTTCTGATGGCAAAGTGGTTGAGGTTTCTTGATGGCCAAGTGGTTGAGGTTTCTGATGGCCAAGTGGTTGAGGTTTCTGATGGCAAAGTGGTTGAGGTTTCTGATGGCCAAGTGGTTGAGGTTTCTGATAGCCAAGTAGTTGAGGTTTCTGATGGTCAAGTGGTTGAGGTTTCTGATGGCCAAGTGGTTGAGGTTTCTGATGGCAAAGTGGTTGAGGTTTCTGATGGTCAAGTGGTTGAGGTTTCTGATGGCAAAGTGGTTGAGGTTTCTGATGGCCAAGTTGTTAAGGTTTGTGACTATGAATCATTTGGAACGTGATTTCATGACGCTCACAACCATGAATAACATAATATCAAGCTTTCTAACTTCCTGCATATTTTACATATTTTACACTAGATTTTGATGCTAATTTAAACATGACAATGCAAACCCATTTTAGCTTCTCACACAATGAGAATGTTTATCATTTTACTATTTTGGAGGTTTAAGGTCTGAGATTTTCCATTCTAGGACCACTTATTCCTTAATATACATACATACATGTAAAGTAGAAATACATGGGAGCTTGGATTACAGACTCATCTGAAAGATTTGTAGAAAATTGAAGATGGTATAGAAGGTGATCAACACCCGGATTTATAGCCAGATATAAATACCAGTCATTTGTGTGAGACATAATTTAGTAGTAATATTGGGCTCAGTACATGAACATGTACATTGCTTAAATATTGAGTGATCTGAATTAAAAATTAACCAATGCCAGGGCTGTTAAATTTTTATACAAGCTTCCAAATTACTGTCACAATCAACTTGTCAGCAAAAATTGACACTTACTTCCTGTACTCAATACCCTTTGTAATGATAACAAGAGCACTGCAATTGTAGTGTAATTTGACACACATAGATGTGTTTTACTTTATAAGTATAGATAAACTAGGTGATCCTATAAAAGTGATGCTAAATGAAAATATCTTGAAAAATGTAGCTTAGGAGGAGACTTTTCTTAGATATGTTTACAATATAAGTCTAAATAAATTATGTAGCCATTTTTGGGTAATGATTAATGTAATTTTTAGGTCAAGAAAATGCTACATGCAACATATTCTAATCTTTTGGCATTGTGGTTTCACACAATATAACTAAAATAAGTAAGCCCCGGGGCGGGGCCATTTTCTATCTGTAAAGGTTCAGGTTTTGCACATTGTCTTATCATCATTAACATCTCTGCCCAGTTTTTTTTTATTTCTTTATTTTTATCAGTTAAAAAAAGATATAATTTTGACACAAACTTGAAATACAAATACGTAAGTTTGATGTTGACCGGAGGAAGCTCAAACCTATAATATGTACAGTTTCTATTCCATTCGATCTGTTGAAAAGAGACAGGATGGGCACGAGATTGCTGACGGACAGATGAGCAGGTGCTTTACATGATGCATCAGTTTTTTGGTGTTTATAAAAAGTGAATAACTTTCTCACAAAGTAATAAAGAGTAATAAAACTTTGCGAACTGAGCACACTTAGGGCCCTTAATATTAACATTAAAATTTCTTAATTTAAGAAAAAAACACCCAAGAAAGAAATTTCTATAGAGCCCCCCACTCAAATTTGTTGCTGAGGTAAAAATAGCAATATTTAAATAATTCAACTGGGAAAAAGCTATGAAAACATTCTCAAAACAGTCTAGACACTTAATAGCATCAACCAATCTCATTAAAAACATATCTAAACAGTCGCCCAAATATTCCCCGCTAGACAAATAGCGCGGGTAACATGATCTGATTTATATACATATCACCTTTCAGGTTAAATAATAAAATCAATGTTGCAAGAAAAGGAAGTAAATATCGGTTTGAAATTTTATAAATTCAGTTACGAAATAATTTCATTAGAAAAAAAAATACTGCCTGTGAAAAAAAAAATTGAGGATTACTAAAGGTAAAGTATATTTTATGTAGATATCTAAGTATAAAAACTATACATGAATAACTGTTTGAAAAACATGACGATTTAAGTTTTTAGTTTCCACTTTAAATTTTGTGACTCTTCTTTAAAAACAAAAATGTTTTGACGATAAGAGAAATATTTTATGAACATTCAATCCAATGAAATTTTTTTTAAAAAAAAAAAGGTTCATTTTTTTCTTCGTTTAATCCTTAAGAGATTTGTGTTATCATTTTATCCTGTAATTTCAAAATAAAGGCATGTCAGTATCAAAATAAAATTGAGCTACCAACAATATGGAGCCTGTTCAGAGTGCACGGAAGTGAAGGCTGGCCGGGATTTATACTGACAAAATCACTTTTGGTTACATCATGTTAAGGTTTATAGTCTTAAAATAATTAAGGTCATTAAAAAACTATATTAATAGATTTCAAACGCATGGCATATTTTTAAGTGCTTTATGTACGTACAAAAGGCTACAATAAATGTCTGCACATGCCAAACAAAGACTTGACAAAAACTTTAGGTTGACTGTTCCATTTTATCACATACCCGTCCTGCTTTTGCGACTACGTAAAAATGGAACTGCACGGTCGTGCATATATTTGCGTTATACAAACAAAGCGTTAAGACTCGTTAAATGTTAGTCTGATACCATAGGCGCGTCAATGAAAAATGGTTGTTTTCACTTTAAACGGTCTTTCTTTTGGTATGTGATAGAAAGAATATTAAATTCGTGAAATTTCATCACTGAATTCATTGAACTCATTGAATAAAATAATATTGCGATCGCCATAGATTCTCATAATAAAATTTTATTCAACTCGTTCAATAAATACAAGTATTAAACAAACACTTACTAAATATCCTTTATATCTTATATCTAATATTGTAAGGAGAATGACTTGCTTTAATTGATGTTATTTAATCTCAGGAAGGATTAAATAATGAACCATTTTCAAAGATATGGAGGCACAGCAGCATCGCCTGACTTATAATTGAAACATTCTCATTTGGATAACTAGCAAGTAATTGTTTAGTTAACAGTATTTGTTTAGATATTTTTTTATTTCAAATCCATATATACATTAATACAACAAACTCTGATCATAATTTACACTCAAAACAATTACAGAATTCTGAACATTATATACACCAAAACAAACACACTCCATTCATTAACCACTTGTACAAAATATGTTTTCATGTATACGTTTTTATACTACGAAACAATATTAAACACCTTACGAGCCCAAGCTCTAAACAACTTATGATTAAACAAAACAATAAAATCGACACAAAATAAAGAACACAAAATGAATTATTTTACAACTTAAGATACAGTTTCAACAGCAAACATTTAACCAAAAGTATGAACTTCTAATCAGCATCAGAAAGCAACTTACACCTAAAAAAACAATATTTACAGATATCTTTAAAACCAAAGCATCAACTATGAGATTCTTGACAAGACAAAATCAACCAAATAATTATAAGTCGACAACCAAATATAAGTAAACAACAAAAACAACTTAGTACAACCAATGAACCCTGATCAATTAAGATCAGCGCAATTAATTTCAACCAACTTCAACAAATCAACAAACAACTGTATTCGCTTCTAAAATAATAAGCACTACAGAGAGAGTGCCCATCGCTAGCAAAACGATTTGACATTTACATAATTGTAAAGAGAGTTCATGCGAGTAGCAACCGCTTTAATAATAACTGCACACTTACACTACACCTCAAACAAATCTATCGTTCTAGAAAACAAACTTAACAGATAAAAATGTAAGATTATTCTGATTATTCTTTATATTTGTCAAGAAAAAGTCAGTAAGGAAGTTATTATATATACAAATGTATCTATGTTTTAAACTATTTATGTATTCACAAAACTCCTTATGATTGTATATATTTTAGATAGAAAAAAATGGCTGTCTCAGGAAAGAAAGCATCAGGACAAATTACATCATCTTGTTGCAAACATCAGAAAGAAATGATCAAGTTCTACTGCAATGATCATGAGGAATTACTCTGCAGTGTTTGTGTTACCCTTGAACACCAAGCTACATCCTGCAAAGTTGATTATATACCTGATATATCTGATGATATAATAGGCAGTAAAGAATATCAAGTTATCTTGAAAGCGGTAGATTCTACTTCTGACCAGTATCAACAGATTGTAGAAGATTTCAAAAAGATGACAAACAAATCCAACACCTCTCTGAAAGATGCATTAGCAGACATTTACAAATTTCGGCAAGAATTCAACCAAAAATTAGATGAACTGGAGAAGCAAACTAAAGATGCAGCTAAAGTCATAGAACAAGAAAATAGCAATCACATGAAGGCAGTAGAAACAGCATGTGAAGATATAATCAAATCTCTGAAGACATCAGCAGACACTATCAAACAACTCAACACATCAAAACAAGCTGATAAACTCTTCATGGAACTTAAACTTGCAGAGAAAACATTGAGAGACGTGGAGAGAAAAACACTGCAGCTTTCATCATGTGCTATCAAAGAAATCAAATTTAAAGCAGTACAGGCAACAGCAGATCTCCTTAAAACAGAGAAGTCTATAGATACCCAAAGAACTATCAATATAAAATCCCAATCAGTACAATTAAAGTGCAGACAATTTTTACATCAGGGGAAAATCAGTGTGAAGACATCAAAAGATAAAACAACATGCTGGATTACAGGAATGACTTTGCTAACTCCTGACCTTCTTGTCATCACTGACCACTATAACAATGCTGTAAAGATGGTGGATGGAGGCAGTCAATCCGTGTCTGATCAACTACAACTAAGTTATGAAAAAGATGATGCTCCGTGGAGTATCACCGCAATTACCAGTACTGAGCTTGCTGTCACCTTTCCTTATAAACAAGCAATACAGTTTATATCAATCTCATCAAACAAACTTAAAAGGAAGCACACTATGAAGGTGAATGGACACTGTTATGGAATAAGCTGTAACCAAGATAAACTTGTTGTGACATACCTTTGTCCTACAAAACTCCAGATCCTTGATATGAATGGCACTATACTGGTAACAATTGATGGCAAAAATATTTTCCAAAATCCATGTTTTGTTACAAGTAATAGATGTTCTATCTATGTGTCTGACCGTTTGATGCAATCATTAACAAGATTAAACTGGCAGGGTGATGTGCTTGAAAGCTATGGTGATATGGGTGAGACAAGAGGCATATCACTGTCAGGTGATGGCACTGTCTTTGTGTGTGACAGGAAGAGAAATGTTATAGAAGAAATATCAGGAGACTGCTCAACAGGGAAAATTGTGTTGCAGGGTCTGAATAGACCATATACTGTATGTTGGTCTGAGGAAACAAAAATGGTGTACTACAGCTGTGAAGTTGAAGATGAAAAACATGATAACTTCCTTCACAGCTTTAAACTTTCAGATACTTTAAACATATAATAAAAAATACCTTAAACTTGGAAATTCAATATTCTGCAAAAAGATACAAAAAAGGTTTACAACGAACACAGTGAGATAATGTAAAATCAGACTAAACGTTTTTTTTTTATTTCTTAATGCAAACATATCAGAGAAAGAACATTGCAATTAGAAATGTTGACATAGATACAAATAAACAGACTTTCTAAGCAAAATTAGATAATTTGACCTTGAATAAGGGAATAGCCAGCCTGGTTTTTATGGCGATTTTTATGTGATTTACAAACTTCGTAAGATTTTGGGTCATGATAATTTTTCTGCTGTTTTTACTAAAATCATTAAACGTTTTATTAAAAGAGGTTATGACCGTACTATTTTAAGACATACTGCATGCTTAGTGTTCAACCCTTTTACAGTTGGACACTACGCTCTTCTTTTATAGACTCTATGATGGACAGTTCTTAAAGCCCTTCGGGACCGAATTGTCTTACTGTTCGTCTTCTGCCTTGCTTCGTCGGGCCCTTGTAGGTGATTTTCTTGTTGCTCTGTCTTCCTTTAGGACATTGAGTACTTTTGTTATGGTCATTTGGTTTACTTTTATATGTTTCTACATGATCTTTTTGGTGTTTTACTTATTTAGCCTTTTGTAACCATAACAACTGTTAGAATTTCACTTGGCGCGGATTCATTTTATTTACACTGTCTCGTTTATAGGAACATGGTGGAGCTAAGAGTGAGGTTTGGTGAACCATTAACCGGTTTACACTCCCCAGTGGTTTAACTACCACTGACCGTTCCAAGGCGGTACCCCTCTGTGTTCGGTCACGTGTTGTTCATATCTGTATTGTTACTTATGAGGGATGTTGCACTTATTCACTATCCTTCATGTACAGACTCAATCAAACCGAGTCTGAAATTTTCATGTAATTTTGTTGTGTTTGTTTGTTGTTAATGCTTCCGAGGGATCACTTTGTTTCCAGATGTTTATACTTCACGAAAGCAGATGTCAAGTGCTGTGTGGCAGCTGTAAAAAGTTGCCCCGTACTTCGCTTCAGTGTTGTTGTATTTTTCTGGTCCTTCGGGATCATTGATGCCAGCATTGTTAAGTGTTGAGAATTGAGTAGCGAATTTTAGAATTTCATTTGGCGGGGATTTGTTTTATTTACACTGTCTCGTTTATAGGAACATGGTGGGGCTAAGAGTGAGGTTTATGCACCATTAACCGGTTTAAACTCCCCAGCAGTACTTGTGCTGCTGACCGTTCCAAGGCAGCGCCCCTCTTTGTCCCTCAGATGTAAGTCTATGTTTTTTCACTGTTGACACTTTTGCTTGTGTCCCTTGTTTTCTCGTCTACAGTAAGTATCTTCCCCTTTGCCCCTAGTCTTATTTCTTTAATTTACCTCCCCCTTCCCCGGGTCTCCTGTCCCCTTTCCCTGTGGCCTTTGACTTTGTGGGCCTATTATTCAATCATTGATTTATTTTCTTTGAGTTCCTTATCAGTTACAAATTATTTATTCAATCATTTGTTTGTTTTCTTTTAATTCCTTATTAGTTACAATTTATTTGTCATTTTGGTGATTGGCTTGTCCGTGATCTGCCTTGTGCCCTGTCCTGTTTTTGTTTGGGGTCCGCCTGGGCTCCTTGCCACCGGTTCTTGTTGCTCGGTCGTGTGGGGGTTGCGTTCATTGAACGCCGCCTTTCCTTGTTGATTTTGTTTATCTTTTCTTTTTGAAATTCAAGGTGTTATCTGAATCATTCATAAAAATATTGAAAATATCAAAATGACTAAAAATTGAAAAATAGAAAGGTATTTTCCTGAAAATTATCAGTAGGGTAAAAGTGATGGTTAACAGAAGGTTGTTGGTCTTACCCGACTGACACTTATACATGACATCATGTCATTATTATCTTATTAAATATTATGAATGTTTCGTCATTATTCTATTTTAGATTGTTGACATTTTGTCTGAAGAGCCTGAGGTTAAAATTGCACTGTTTCCTTAACTTTTAATTTTGAATATTTTGTTTAGAGATACTGGGATATGATTTCAGCATATTTTAATTCTGATAGCATTTCATAGATTCATAAAAATGATCCTATCATTTTATAAATAAATGCAACTCAATCCATGAAAAGAAAAGTCAGGAAATGTTGCAATTGAAATCTGAATGAAACAAAAGAAAAAATACTTTAAAAAACCCCAAAATACTGAAACTAATTGATTTCTATTAATCATGTTGAAGTTTAATTGTTCTACCATTATTTACTTAAATGATTTACAGCTGAAGCAGACTGGTCTACTATGTTGACCTTAAACCACCCTTGCAATTGAAACCTCTTTTTCCCATTTATTGATCTTAGAATAGATTTTAAATATCGCATTGACATTTAACATGAATTTAAATTCATGGATAAACAATTTCCCAAATATTATTATTGGAAACCACACAATTTAATCATTAACAACATATGTGTAATTTTATCTGACTGTGTATGTGTTTGATGCTGTCGATCAGTTTTATGTAAAGAGTTTACACCAAATCTTTGGTAAAGATGTGTTCTTATTTTGTTATTATGTAATATAAACAGCAGTACTTATTGCATATTTCAGATATATTACTGTATTGTATCATATATTGTACATTTTTATAACTGTCATATTGTTTAATACTCAAATAAATCTTTTGTCATTGTCATTAATTATGCCATATTGGATTTTAGATATTTTTAGCATTGTCGTCGTATATACTCGTAATATAGAAAAATAAAAAAAAAATATTTTAAACTATCACTGTCTTTTTTCAGTTTTGTCTGCAAAAAGTAAATTTTGTTATTATTGAAATAAAAATGTCCTGGTACAAGATTTTCAGTTACTAAGGATAAGATTTATCCCTGGATAGCTCAGTTGGTACAGCTGCGGAAAAGTATTCCGAGGGTTCATAGTTCTAATCCCTGACATTTTTCTGACCTCACCCTACAAGAAAAAAAATATTTAGAAAATAGATCCTGCAAAGGGAACTTCCATGGCCAAGTGTGGTTGAGGTTTCTGATGGCCAAGTGGTTGATTTTTGTGACTGTGAATCATTTGGAACATACTACAGTTAGTTATAATCTCATCTAGGCATCGAGGGAGCTACATTTTTTGTGCTATGTCGGTGGTTTAAAAGATACTTATACGATGAAGTAATGGGTTCCTTAGGTTATTTTTCGCTTATCATTTGTTCAATGAACTTAACAAAATGAACTTCACATTATATATAAGTCTGTCACCTTCACGTTTTTTAGTGTGTCCGAAAATGTGAGCAAGAAAATAAAAGAAACATCGTTGTTGGAAAATTAGTTATTGAATGAGATCTGGCAAATTTAAGTTGTGTTCATAATGATACTTTGTTTACATTAGCCCTGTGTACAATGATAAATTGTTTACTTTTGTCCAATTTTAATGATACATTATTTACCTGTGTTTTAATATATGTTGTTTACAGGTCTTAATATACTGTGAAACATTGTTTACTTCTGTCCTGTATTTAAGATCAATGTTAATCTTTTTTCCTGAATATTTCATACCATATGTAGATTGTTTACATTTGTCCTTTTCTATTATGATAATCCACCCTTGTCCTGTGTGTAATGATACCTTTTACTTTTGTCCTTTGCATAGTGGTACAATGTTTACCCTTTTTTCTGAATTTTTCATACTACATTGTTTACTTTTTGTCCTTTGTATTTCTTTTTCTTAAGTATTCTTGATCTTGGAGAATATGTCTGGCCAGGTTTCGTTCTGGCATTTGGCTTAAAAAGCAGTATAAGTTTCATTAAACCAATGCCAAAACATCTTTAAATGTTGTCTTATGATAACATTTCTTTATCCTGCCGAGGGTGATCATGATAGTTTTTGCAAGCAGCTTGGTGCCGACTATAACCATGTAATTTATACATACATAAATATTTTTCACAAACGTCTTTGTAATCTAATCGAGGGTCTTTTGCTTCTGGTTTCATGATTCAAGTTTTTAATATTGAAATATCATATTTGAACAGTGTATAATAATTCTACAGGGCAATGTCCTGTTCACAAATATAACATGGTATGGTGTAAATTAAGAACAAACACAAAAACAAAAGTCAGTTTGATTCGAGGTTATCGCAACTTTATTTGTTAAAAGACAACAGAAGATAAAAATAAATTACTGTCACAATCAACTTGTAATCTGTGAATGAAAGTAAAATATTAACAGAAAGAGTCATCAAAAATTGACACTTATTTCCTGTACTCAATGCCCTTAGTAATGATAACAAGAACACTGCAATTGCAGTGTAATTTGACAAATATAGATGTGTTTTACTTTATAAGTATAGATTAACTAGGTGACCCTAAAAAAGTGATGCTAAATAAAAATATCTTGAAAAATGTAGCTTAGAAGGAGAATTTTTTCTAGATAAGTTTACAATATAAGTCTAAATAAATTATGAAGCCATTTTTGGGAATTGATTAATGTAATTTTAGGTCAAGAAAATGCTACATGCAGCATATTCTAATCTTTTGGGATTGTGGTTTCACACAATAAAATTTAAATTATTTTCCTTTTTAAGTCAAACTAAAATAAGTGAGCCCCGGGGCGGGGCCATTTTCTATCTGTTTTTTGCACATTGTCTTATTATCATTAACAATTTTGCCCAGTATTATCTTTATTTTTTAATTTCATCAGTTAAAAAAGATATAGTTTTGACACAAAATTTTGAAATACATAAGTTTGATGTTGAACGGAGGAAGCTCAAACCTATATTATGTAGAGTTTCTATTTGAAAAGAGACAGGATGGACACGACATTGCTGACAGACGGATGAGCAGGTGATGCTTTACATTATGAAGCAGTTTATTTTTGTTGCTTATAAAAAGTGAATATCACAAAGTAATAAAGAGTAATAGAACTTTGCGAACTGAGCACACTTATGGCCCTTAATATGTACTAAAAATTTCTGAATTTAAGAAAAAAACACCCACGACAGGACTGGAGAAAGAAATTTCTACAGAGCCCCCCGCTCTAATTTGTGTAGCAATATTTTAATAATTCAACAGTAAAAGAGCTATTGTAAACATTCTCAAAAAAGTCTAGACACTTTATAGCATCAACAAATCTCATTAAAAACATATCTAAACAGTCGCCCAACTATCCTCCGCTAGACAAATAGCGCGGGTAACATGATCTGAATTTAAGTCACCTTTCAGGTCAAATAATAAAATCAATGTTGCCTGAAAAGGAAGTAAATATCGGTTTAAAATTTTATGAATTCAGTTACGAAATAATTTCATGAGATAAAAAACATACTGCCTGTGAAAAAAAATTAAGGATTACTAAAGGTAATATATATTTTATGTAGTTATATATCTAAGTATAAAAAAATGTTTGAAAAACATGACGATTTAATTTTTTAGTTTCCACTTTAAATTTTGTGACTCTTCTTTAGAAACAAAAATGTTTTGACGATAAAAGAAATATTTTATGAACATTCAATCCAATGAAATTTTTTTAAAAAAAAAAGGTTCTCTTTTTTCTTCTTCTTTTAATCCCTTAAAGATTCGTATAATCATTTTATCCTGCCAATAATTTGGAACAGTTAATTTCAAAATAAAGACATGTCAGTATCAAAATACAAAAATTGAGCTACCAACAATATGGAGCCTGTTCAGAGTGCACGGAAGTGAAGGCTGGCCGGGATTTATACTGTTGGCAAAATCACTTTTGGTTACATCAGATTACTTAAGGATTATAGTCTTAAAATAATTAAGGTCATTAAAAAATGTAGATCAATAGCTTCCAAACGCATGGCAGATTTTTAGTGCTTTATGTACAAAAGGCTACAAAAATGTCTGTAACAATCAAAGACTTGACAAAAACTTTAGATTGAATGTTCCATATTATCACATACCCGTCCTGCTTTTGCGACTCCGTAAAAACGGAACTGAACGGTCGTGCATACCGGTATATTTGCGTTATACAAACAAAGCGTTAAGGCGCGATAAATAAAAAAATGGGACTTTTTCACTTTAAACCGTCCTACTTTTTGGTATGTAATAGAAAGAATATTAGATTCGTGAAAGTTCATTTCTGAAATCATTGAACTCACTGAATAAAATAATATTACGATCGCCATATAGAGTCGCATAAAATAATTTTATTCAACTCGTTAAATAAAATACAGTATTAAACTAACACTCAATATCCTTTATATCTTAATCTAATATTGTAAGGAGAATGACTTGCTTTGATGTTATTTAATCTCAGGAAGGATTAAGTAATGAACCAATTTTAAAGATATGGAGGTACAGCAGCATTGACCTCAACAATCAACAGTATTCGCTTCTAAAAAAAAAACACTCAGAGTGTGCCCATCGCTAGCTTAACGATTTGACATTTACATAATTGTAAAGAGAGTTTATGCGAGTAGCAACAGCTTTAATAATAACTGCACACTTATACATGATATCTACACTACACCTCAAACAAATGTATCGTTCTAGAAAACAAACTTAACAGATATAACTGTATGATTATTCTGACAAATCTTAATATTTGTCAAAATATGTATCTATGTTTTAAACTATTTATGTATTCACAAAATTGCAAAACTCCTTACATTTACATGTATATATTTTAGATAGAAAAAATGGCTGTCTCAGGAAAGAAAGCATCAGGACAATTTACATCATCAACAACCATGGCATCAGATGAAGATCTTAAAGTTTACTGCAAGCCTTGTGATAAGGAAGGAACTAAACTTCCTGCCCATGGTTACTGCACTGACTGCAAGGAACACTTATGTAAGACTTGCTTTAAAGCCCATAAAAAACACAAACATTCTAAACATCATACACTTCTAAAAGGTTCAAATATGCCTAAAGTTTTGCATCAGCCCTCAACAGCCACCCACACAAGCAAGTCTGATCAACTTACCACACCATGTTGCAAACATCAGAAAGAAATGATCAAGTTCTACTGCAATGATCATGAGGAATTACTCTGCAGCGTTTGTGTCACACTTGAACACCAAGCGACGTCCTGCAAAGTTGATTATATACCTGACATATCTGGTGATATTATAGGCAGTAAAGAATATCAAGTTATCTTGAATGCGGTAGATATCACTTCTGGCCAGCATCAACAGATTGTAGAAGATTTCAAAAAGATGACAAACAAATCCAACACCTCTCTGAAAGATGCATTAGCAGACATTAACAAGTTTCGGCAAGAATTCAAAAAAAGATTAGATGAACTGGAGAAGCAAACTAAAAATGCAGCTAAAGTCATAGAACAAGAAAATAGCAATCACCTGAAGGCAGCAGAAGCAACATGTGAAGATATAACTAAATCTCTGAAGACATCAGCAGATACTATCAAACAACTCAACACATCAAAACAAGCTGATAAACTCTTCATGGAACTTAAACTTGCAGAGAAAACATTGAGAGACGTGGAGAGAAAAACACTGCAGCTTTCATCATTTGCTATCAAAGAACTCAAATTTAAAGCAAAACACGCAACAGCAGATCTCCTTAAAACAGAGAAGTCTTTGGATACACAAAGAACTATCAATATAAAATCTCAATCAGTACAATTGAAGTGCAGACAATTTTTACATCAGGGGAAAATCAGTGTGAAGACATCAAAAGATAAAACAACATGCTGGATTACAGGAATGACTCTGCTAACTCCTGACCTTCTTGTCATCACTGACCACTATAACAATGCTGTAAAGATGGTGGATGCTAGCAGTCAATCCGTGTCTGATCAACTACAACTAAGTTATGAAAAAGATGATGCTCCGTGGAGTATTACCACAATTACCAGTACTGAGCTTGCTGTCACCTTTCCTTATAAACAAGCAATACAGTTTATATCAGTCTCATCAAACAAACTTAAAAGGAAGCACACTATGAAGGTGGATGGACACTGTTATGGAATAAGCTGTAACCAAGGTAAACTTGTTGTCACATACCTTGGTCCTGCAAAACTCCAGATCCTTGATATGAATGGCACTATACTGGCAACAATTGATGCTGAAACTATCTTCCAAAATCCATGTTATGTCACATGTAATAGATGTTCTATATACGTGTCTGACCGTTTGATTCAATCATTAACAAGATTAAACTGGCAAGGTGATGTGCTTGAAAGCTATAGTGATATGGGTGAGACAAGAGGAATATCAATGTCTGGTGATGGTACTGTCTTTGTTTGTGACAGGAAGAGAAATGTTATAGAAGAAATATCAGGAGACTGCTCTACAGGAAAAATTGTGTTGCAGGGTCTGAATAGACCATATACTGTATGTTGGTCTGAGGAAACAAAAATGGTGTACTACAGCTGTGAAGTTGAAGATGAAAAACATAATAACCTCCTTTACATATATAAACTTTCAGAGACTTTAAACATGTAATAAAAACACCTTAAATTTGGAAATTCAATATTCTGCAAAAAGATACATAAAAAAGGTTTACAACGAACACAGTGAGATAATGTAAAAATCAGACTTAAGTGGGTTTTTTTTATTTCTTAATGCAAACATATCAGAGAAGAAAATTGCATTTAGAAATGTTGACATATAGACAAATAAAACATACTTTCTAAGAAAAATAAGATAATTTGACCTTGAACAAGGGATTAGCCAGCCTGGTTTTTATGGCGATGTAATTTACAAACTTCGTAAGATTTTGGGTCATGGTAATTTTTCTGCTGTTTTCACTAAAATCATTAAACGTTTTATTAAAAGAGGTTATGACCCTACTATTTTAACACATACCGCACGCTTAGTGTTCAACCCTTTTACAGTTGGACACTACGCTTTCCTCTTTTGATTACATCTCACGGACCAAGTATGAAACTCTATGATGGACAGTTCTTAAAGCATTGTCTTAATGTTCGTCTTCTGCCTTTCTTCGTCGGGCCCTTGTAGGTGATTTTCTTGTTGCTCTTTCTTCCTTTAGGACATTGCATACTTTTGTTATGGTCATTGGGTTTACTTTGATATGTTTCTACATGATCATTTTGGTGTTACACTTATTTAACCTTTTGTAACTATAACAACAATTTCACTTGGCGGGGATTCATTTTTTTACACTGTCTCGTTTATAGGAACATGGTGGGGCTAAGAGTGAGGTTTGGTGCACCATTAACCGGTTTAAACTCCCCAGTGGTTTAACTACCACTGACCGTTCCAAGGCGGTACCCCTCTGTGTTCGTTCACGTGTTGTTCATACCTGTATTGTTACTTGTGAGGGATGTTGCACTTATTCACTATCCTTCATGTGCAGACTCAATAAAACCGTGTCAGAAATTTTCATGTAATTTTGTTATGATTAATGCTTCCGAGGGATCACTTTGTTTCCAGATTTTTATACTTCACAACAGCAGGTGTCAAGTGTTGTGTGGCAGCTGTAAAAAGTTGCCCTGTACTTCACTTCAGTTTATATTTTTCTAGTCCTCCGGGAACATTGATGGCAGCACTGTTAAGTGTTGAGAATTGAGAACCGATATTTAGAATTTCATTTGGCGAGATTTATTTTATTTACACTGTCTCGTTTGTAGGATCATGGTGGGGCTAATAGTGAGGTTTGGTGCACTATTAACCGGTTTTAACTCCCCAGCAGTACTTGTGCTGCTGACCGTTCCAAGGCGGCGCCCCTCTTTGTTCCTCAGATGTATGTCTATGTTTTTCATACTGTTTGGTGACACTTTTTCTTGTGTCCCTTGTTTTCTCGTCTACAGTAAGTATCTTCCCCTTTGCCCCTAGTCTTATTTCTTTAATTTACCTCCCCCCCCTTCCCCGGGTCTCCTGTCCCCTTCCCCTGTGCCCTTTGACTTTGTGGGCCTATTATTCAATCATTTATTTGTTTTCTTTGAGTTCCTTATCAGTTACAAATTAATTGTCATTTTGGTGATTGGCCTGTTCGTGCTCTGCCTTGTGCCCTGTCCTGTTTTTGTTTGGGGTTCGCCTAGGCTCCATGCCACTGATTCGTGTGGGATTGCGTTCATTGAACGTCACCTTTCCTTGTTGTCTTGTGTATCATATTTTTTTGAAATTCAAGGTGATATCTGAATCATTTAACAAGTCAGTTTTATCAGTAATCGTGTTCTGTCCAAGTATCAAATCTGTTATTATTTAACAAAGTAATGGAAATTTTATATGACATTGACGGTCAAGGTCATCACATATATGTATTAATTATTCAACATGTTGGTATGAAGACACGTATATGAGGATATGTGACCAAATAATGTATCAAAGTTAACATGATCATTCAAAGTTTTAATACATTTCGATATTTATTAAGTCGCCCCACTAGTATTATGAAAATAATTTTACATATAAAAACGTATCCTGCTGGTATATCCAATTCCAAAACATAGCCTACTAAATTATCTTAGTACAATTTAACTTCTCTGAATGCTTTCTTATCTCAGGATAAATGTAGCAAATTGCACTATATATCATAGATTATGTAAATAGCAAAAAGGTTTGTCAAAAGTAAATGCCGTTGCAACTAAGGGAAGAGAGAAAATATATAAAAGTTGATTACAATTTAGAGCAAAAAAAATCAACAGGTTTGAACAAACATAAAAAGAAATAAATGGTGTTTTTTTCATAAAGCCCAAACATTCAACAAAAACCAATGAAAGCAATGGTAATATTCATTGATATAACAATTTAAAATGATAATATAATTTTATTCTTAGAACTTGTTACTACTTATAGGAGCTTTATTTGTGCTTATAATTTGTTATAATTAATATGCATTTTATTAACACATAACTTATTATTACTTATATGTAGTTTATGCTTATATAGATATATACATGTGACTGCATCATGAAACAAAGTTTTTATATGAGCTCAACTGTCAGTCCCAAATGCCTAAAAGTAATTTGAAATTTCTACATAGAAAAATTGGAGCACTTGAAATTCAACAATCGTACAAGGTGTTTTAAATACAACTGCTTCCACTTCTGTCGTGATCTTTTCTGATGTAAAAACAACCTTTGTAACAAAATAATTATTTTCTTAGCTTCAAATCTCTATTTTTCACTTCATAAAATATTGTAAATATCAAAATGACTAAAAACTGCAAAATAGAAAGGTATTTATCTGAAAATTATCAGTAGGGTAAAAGTGATGGTTGGTCTTACCCGACTGACACGTATACATGTCATCATGTCATTATTATCTTATTAAATATTACAAACGTTTCGTCAACATTCTATTGTTGATTGTTGACATTTTTTCTAAAGAGGTTAAAATTGCACTGTTTCCTTAACTTTTAATTTTGAATATTTTGTTAAGAGATATTGGGATGTGATTTCAGCATATTTTAATTCTTATAGCATTTCATAGATTCATACAAATGATCCTATCATTTTATAAATAAAAACAACTCGATCCATGAAAAGAAAACAGTCAGGAGAGTAAAATGTTGCAATTGAAATCTGAACAAAACAAAAGAAAAACTACTTTAAAAATCCAAAAATACTGAAACTAATTGAAAATATTTGTTTCCTTTCTATTAATCATGTTGAAGTTTAATTTTTCTACCATTATTGACTTAAATGATTTACAGGTGAAGCAGACTGGTCAACTATGTTGACATTAAACCACCCTTGCAATTGAAACCTTCTTTTCCCATTTATTGATCTTAGAATAGATTTTAAATATCGCATTGACATTTAACATGAATTTGAATTCATGGATAAACAATTCTTAAATATTATTATTGGAAACATTTAAGTCATGACACACAATTTAATCATTAACAACATATGTGTAATTTATCTGGCTGTAAATGTGTTTGATGCTGTCGATCAGTTTTATGTAAAGAGTTTACACCAAATCTTCGGTAAAGATGTGTTCTTATATTATTATTATGTAATATAAACAGCAGTACTTATTGCATATGTCAAACATGTTACTGTATCATATATTGTACATTTTTATAACTGTCATATTGTTTATTATAGTTAATTATGCCATATTGGATTTTAGATAGTTTTTTTACCATTGTCATCATATATACTCGTAATATAGAAAAATAAAAAAGATATTTCACACTATCACTGTCTTTTTTCATGTTTCAGTTTGTCTGCAACAAGTAAAATTTGTTATTATTGAAATAAAACTGTCCTGGTACAAGCTTTTCAGTTACTAAGGATAAGATTTATCCCTGGATAGCTCAGTTGGTACAGCTATTGAAAGGTATTCCGAGGGTCCATAGTTCTAATCCATGACATTTTTCTGACCTCAAGCTACAAGAAAAAATATTTAGATCATGCTTAGGGAACTTCCAGATGTGGTTAAAGTTTTTCTGATGGCCAAGTGGTTGATTATTTGTGACTGTGAATTATTTGGAACATACTACTGTTAGTTATAATCTCATCAAGGCATTGATCGAGGGAGCTATATTGTTTTAGCTACTTCACAGTATGTCAATGGTTTAAAAGATCCTTATACGATGAAGTAATGCGTTCCTCAGGTTATTTTTCGCTTATCATATGTTCAATGAACTTAACAAAATGAACTTAACATTATATACAAGTCTGTCACCTTTACGTTTTTAGTGTGTCTGAAAAGGTTACCAAGAAAAAACGAAAAATCGTAATTATTGAATGAGATCTGATTGGCACTGATACAATAAACTGTATAAGCAAATTTCAGTCATGTTCAATATGATACTGTGTTTACATTTGCCCTGTGTACAATGATTGTCCAGTTTTTATGATACATTATTTTCCTGTGTCCAGTGTTTTATGATATGTTGTTTACAGGCCTGTCTGATACTAGTACATTGTTAACATCTGTCCTGTATTTAAAATCAATGTTTTGTTTTTTTCCTGAATATTTCATACCACATGTACATTGCTTACATTTGTCCTTTATATCATGATACTATTCACCTTTGTCCTATGTGTTATAATACATTTTACTTTTGTCCTTTGTATAGTGATACATTGTTTACCCTTTTTTCTGAATTTTTCATACAACATTTGTTCACTTTTTGTCCTTTGTATTTCTTTTTGTTTTCTTGGTATTTTTGGTCTTGGAGAAGATGTCTGGCAAGGCTTCGTTCTGGCCTATGGCTTAAAAAGCAGTTTAAATTTTCATTAAATCAATGTTAAAACATCTTTAAATTTTGTCTTATAATAACATTTCTTTATCCTGCCGAGGGTGATCATAATAGCTTTTGCAAGCAGCTTGGTGCCGACTATTATTATGCAATTTATACATACATTAACATACTTCACAAACTTCTTTGTAATCTAATCGAGCGTCTTTTGCTACTGGTTTCATGATTTCAGTTTTTTATATTGAAATATCATATATGAACAGTATATAATAACTATACAGGGCAATGTCCTGTTCACAAATATAACATGTAATGGTGTAAATTTAGAACAAAAAAGTCACTCTGATTCAATGTTATCGTCACTTTATTTGTTAAAAGACAACAAAAGATAAAAAAAGAGAGGCAAGCCAGCGCTGTTATAGATATCTGACTAGCATCTATATAACAAATAACATTAAATTAAAAAAATTACAACCATAGTCCTCTCATAAAGTTACAGTTTAAAGAATCTTTCATTCTTGCAACGTTCTTCTATCCACGCTAGCAGTAAGTGTTAGTATAAAGCAAACAATATAAAAACTATCTTCCTTTTGTTAACCATTCTCACTGATAGAACTTTTATGTCTTGTATAAATCATATACACTGGCTTAGATTCCCTTTAGTTCCGTCTTTTTTAAACATAAAAAACGCTACTTGAGCTATTAATTGTTTAAATTTGTCATGTGTTAAATTCTAGAATCACTGTTTAAACACATCTTGCACAATATGTTCATTATCTTATTCCCCTCTGTTCATAGTAATTTAACCATTAATAAAACATGGCTTCCTGCCAACTTCTCATATGTATATGGTCCCTGGTTTTTCACATCATCAGGGTCAGTAGTAAACTGGGTCAAGGTCGTAACTAAGGTAGATACAATCTGACCTTCAGCAACAGTGGCAGTAAAGTTTGTGAATTTAGGTCCGTTGTCATTGACATCATCAAGGTTGATCAGAACAATAGCAGAACCTGAAAGAACAAATGTAAAGACATAAGTTAAATAAAAATACCTAAAACTTTCAATTGAGAGAATTATTTCTTGATCAAAGAAGCTTGATTTAACACATTTTCTATTAAAATTTCAACAATTTTTATCTAATCTCTTAACCTGCAGGGACCTGTGTCGGCTGACCAGTCTCTGTACTCAATGTTTGTATTTTGATATTGTCATCTAATTGACTTAATTTTTCTAAATTCAAATCTGGTCAAATATATTGTGGAGATTAAGGAAGAAGAACTTACATCTCACAATTTTTCTAAAACAAAAAAAAAGAAACGAAAAAGTAAAGCTTTAACATAGCACTGGAATCTCTTATTCAAGTTACTCTTTTCATCCTCTCAAATCATTCACTATTTTTGTGAAAGACGTGAAAAAGATGAAGGACAACATAGTGGTATGAAAGTTGCAGCTCATAGGACAACTATGTTATGACAAAGGTTAAACTTGTCCACGGACGAGACAAAAAAAAGAACATTTTACCCATCTTTCTATCATTATGCTGGGGCATTACAAAATCTTTTCAAAAATATCCTACTAAATTAATACTTACAAATGTACAATTTAATTTTTTCTTAATGTTAGAATGCAAGCTACACACTATCAAATTTAGTTTAATATAAACTGTAATTATTATTATTATCATTTATACATGTTTCATGTGTATTCAAACAAACATAATTATGTTACCTGTAGTATAAAATACAATTGTAAAATGTATAATTTCTACCAAACACTTATGTCGTTAACTAAAATCTATAAAGAAAAATGCACCACACACTTCTATATAATATTTATATCCTAGCAAAAACAACATCGGTCTATCGATGAACTGCTCGATTTATGTAGTGTGTCTGTCCCTTACCAAGAACAATCGAAAACACAGTTGTACAAGGAATTAAACACACATAGAAGAGTTACTGCTCTTAATTAATTATATCACACACAAGCAAAATTATTCAGGGCATTTTCTATTGTCATCCTCATCATCATCATCATCAAAATGTATGCTGCCTTAGAAAATATACCCTAAATAATGAGTTCAGTAGCTGATAAAAAAACAAACCAAGCCAAGTTTTTAATAAATACTGTTGTTGATGTTAATGAAGACAATGATGTGTTGTTGAGCATAAAGGGATAAATGCTGAATATATTGGTTGTTGCTGGAAATATTGGGGGGTAGCCTCGAGTCTGAGGACTCACTGACTGATAGAAGAACAGCAAGAATAATTCTGCAACTTCTACGCAATACTAACAGCAATGCCATAATTTGACATGAACACATTAACTGATGATTTCTTTACCTTCTAACAAATTTCTGTCACAATTAAATATTGTAAAGTGTGAATTAAAACATGTTAACAGAAAGAGCCGCCAGAGGTTGACAATAATCTCCTTTACTCACAGCTCTTGATAGTAACAACGAGGACACTGCAAAGGCATTGTAATTTTACAAAATAAATGTGCTTTACTTTATATTTATATATAAACTAAGTGATCCCATCAATATGATGCTAAATGAACATATCTACTGTGCTCTGGACAATGTAGCTTAGGAGGAGAATTATTTTATGATATGTTTACTATATAAGTATATGTAAACTATGTGACCCGGTATTGGGGCCAATTTTGACCACAGGGTAATGATCAAGGTATATTTAAAAGGTCAAGAAAATGCTACATGCAACATATTCTTATCTCTAGGCATTGTAGTCAAATTTTGGGTAAATTTTTATTCCTGTGAAAGTCAAACTAAAATAATTGAGCTCCGGGGCGGGGTCATTTTCTATCTGTGAAGGTTCATACCTAGGTTCTGCACATTGTCTTAATATCATTAACATTTCTCCCCGGTAATGTGTTATTTTAATTTCATCGGATCAAAAAGATATATAGGTTTGACACAAAATATTCAAATTCCTTCGTCAGTATGATGTTGTTCGTAGGAAGCTCAAACCTATATGAGCCGCGTCACGACAAAACCAACATAATGGGTTTGCGACCAGCATGGATCCAGACCAGCCTGCGCAGTCTGATCAGGATGCATGCTGTTCTCTTACAAACCCTATAACAAGTAGAGAAACCGATAGCGAATAGCATGGATCCTGATCAGACTGCGTGGATGGGCAGGCTGGTCTGGATCCATGCTGGTCGCAAACCCATTATGTTGGTTTTGTCGTGACGCGGCTCATATTATGTACAGTTTCTATTTCATTCGATCTGTTGAATAAAGACAGGATGGACCCGAGATTGCTGACGGGCGGATGAGCAGGTGCTTTACATTATGCATCAGTTTTTTGGTGTTTATAAAATATGAATAACTTTGTCACAAAGCAATAAAGAGTTATAAAACTTCGCCTACTGAGCTCATGACCCTAATTATGTAATTCTTATTTCTGAACTAGTTAAAATAATTTTAAGAAAAACGCTCAAGACAAGAAGAAAAATAAGAAATTTCTATAGAGTTCCCACTCACATATGTGGCCGAGGTAAAAATAGCAATATTTAAATAATTCATCAGGAAGAGCTAAACACACACAAGCTAACATAGAAAACATTCTCTAACAATGTATCAACCAATCTCATAAAAAAACATATCATAACAGTCGCTCATCTACCGTCCGCTTGATAAGTAGCTCGGGTAATACCCGGGTAACAGAGCGTAACTTTAAATAATAAAATCAATGTTGCAAGAAAAGGAAGTAAATATCGGTATAAAAAAATTTTGATTCAGTTACAAAATAATTTCATCAGATAAAAAATGCTGTGGATGAGTTCAAACCTGTGAAGAAATTTTAAGGATTACTAAAGGTAAAATATGTTTCATGTAGATATCTAAGTATAAAAAATATGAATGAATAACTGTTTGAAAACATGACGATCTAAGTTTTAAGTTTCCACTTTAAATTGTGTGACTCTTCATTAATTACAAAAATGCTCTGTTGCCGAGAGAAAAAAATATTATAAGAAAATTTGATCCAATAAATATAGATTTTTTTTAAAGATACACTGTTCTTTCTTCTTTTAATCCTCAAAAAGTTTATGCAATCGTTTTGTGCTGCCTATGTATAATTTCGAGTAGCTCATTTCAAAATATAGGGATTTCGGTATCAAAATACAAACATTTGAGCTACCAACAATACGGAGCCTGTTCAGAGTGCAGGGACGAGATTTATACTGGCGGTAAATGCAAATCACGTTTGGTTACATAAGGTTTAACTACGGATACACATCTACGGATTTTTTACCATTTCATGTGTAAATGTTGAATACTGCAAAAGCCGGTGTTAGGGTGCTTGGACGGTAGTGTGCACTTGACAGTACCGTCCATGAACAGGCTCAATCAAACCGGATCTGCAACATTTTCAGTTTTGACGTGTTGGGGCTTTCTTTAGGGATTCTTATTTTCTCTATTTAAGGCTAATAGTCTTTAAATAGTTAATGCTTTTCAAAAAAACTAGATCAATACTTTTCAAACACATGGCAGATTTTAAGTGCTTTATTTGCTAAAAGCTACACAAAATTTCTTTAGGTGCCAAACAAAGTCTTGAAATAAAACTTTAGGTTGAATATTTCAATGTTTTAAAAATAATCTTAAAATTTGTCAAGACAAACAAGTTCTTTATATAAATTTTGCCGTGTTGGACTTTCTTTGGGGATTCTTTTTTTCTCTATTTTATATAAAGGCTTTTCATCTGAATAGAAAATAATAGTAATTGCTACAGCACTAAAAATATAACATTATTTTTACAAGCGCTATTAGATGAAGATTAAATAGCTATTGAATATATCATACCATGATATCAACTCTTAGCATACATTTAATTAACTCGAGTTACAAATATCCCAGCTACAAGGTATAATTCCTACAAGATATTCACGACTCTAATTTTACCACAGAAAGATATATCAGTAAGGAAGTTGCTAAATGTATCTATGTTTTAGTAGAACTAAACTAGTTAGTTAAGTTTAAACTATTTATGTATTCACAAAATAACAAAACACTTCAATTTACATTTTAGATAAAAAGATGGCTGTCCAAGGAAAGAGAGCATCAGATCAATTTTCATCAAATGAAGATCTTAAAGTTTACTGCCAGCCTTGTGATGAGGAAGGAACTAAACTTCCTGCCCATGGTTATTGCACTGACTGCAAGGAACACTTATGTAAGACTTGCTATAAAGCCCATAAAAAACACAAACATTCCAAACATCATACACTTCTAAAAGGTTCAAATATGCCTAAAGTTTTGCATCAGCCCTCAACAGCTACCCATACAGGCAAGTCTGATCAACTTACCACACCCTGTGGCAAACATCAGAAAGAAATGATAAAGTTCTACTGCAATGATCATGAAGAATTACTCTGCAGCGTTTGTGTTACCCTTGAACACCAAGCTACATCCTGCGAAGTTGATTATATACCTGATATATCTGATGATATAATAGGCAGTAAAGAATATCAAGTTATCTTGAAAGTGGTAGATACCACTTCTGACCAATATCAACAGATTGTAGAAGATGTCAAAAAGATGACAAACAAATCCAACACCTCTGTGAAAGGAGCATTGGCTGACATAAACAAGTTTCGGCAAGAATTCAACCAAAGATTGGATGAACTGGAGAGGCAAACGAAAGATGCAGCTAAAGTCATAGAACAAGAAAATAACAAACAACTTAAAGCAGTAGAAGCAACATGTGAAGAAATAACCAAATCTCTGAAGACATCAGCAGATGCCATCAAACAACTCAACACATCAAAACAAGCTGATAAACTCTTCATGGAACTTAAACTTGCGGAGAAAACATTGAGAGACGTGGAGAGAAAAACACTGCAGCTTTCATCATTTGCTATCAAAGAACTCAAATTTAAAGCAAAGCAGCCAACAGTAGATCTCCTTAAAACAGAGAAGTCTTTGGGTACACAAAGAACAATCAATATAAAATCTCAATCTGCACAATTAAAGTGCAGACAATCTTCACATCAGGGGGAAATCGGCGTGAAGACATCAAAAGATAAAACAACGTGCTGGATTACCGGAATGACTTTGCTGACTCCTGACCTTGTGGTCATCACTGACCACTATAACAAAGCTGTAAAGATTGTGGATACCAGCAGTCAATCCGTGTCTGAACAACTACAACTAGGTTATGAAAAAGATGATGCACCATGGAATATCACCACAGTAACCAGTACTGAGCTTGCTGTCACCCTTCCTTATAAACAAGCAATACAGTTTATATCAGTCTCATCAAACAAACTTAAAAGGAAGAACACTATAATGCTGGATGGACACTGTTATGGAATAAGCTGTAACCAAGGTAAACTTGTTGTGACATACCTTGGTCCTGCAAAACTCCAGATCCTTGATATGAATGGCACTATACTGGCAACAATTGAAGGCGAAACTATCTTCCAAAATCCATGTTATGTCACATGTAATAGATGTTCTATCTATGTGTCTGACCGTTTGATGCAATCAGTAATAAGATTAAACTGGCAAGGTGATGTGATTGAAAGCTATAGTGATATGGGTGAGACAAGAGGAATATCACTGTCAGGTGATGGCACTATCTTTGTGTGTGACAGGAAGAGAAATGTTATAGAAGAAATATCAGGAGACTGCTCAACAGGGAAAATTGTGTTGCAGGGTCTGAATAGACCATATACTGTATGTTGGTCTGAGGAAACAAAAATGGTGTACTACAGTTGTGATGCTGAAGATAAAAGAAATGGTAACTTCCTTCACAGCTATAAACTTTCAGAGACTTTAAACGTGTAATATAAACACCAAAAACTTGGAAATTCAATATTCTGCAAAAAGTGAAAACATTTTTAAATGAACACAGCGAGATAATATAGAAAACAGGCTAAATGTTTTCTTAAATGTCACAGAAAGAAAATTGCATGTAGAAATTTTGAAAGAAAGCAACAAGTTTTTTTTTATTTTGACATGATTTTTTGGTATATTGAATGATATGAGTGCGATGACTTATAGCAACAGTGATTTTGTGCCGTTGTAATATCTATCGACCATCTCTTGTCTATTTCGTTTTCGGACAAGACTGGTTGTCTTTATGGACAAATTTTAAATAAAAACAGCATATATGCTTGCAATATTGTAATATTCACTATATTATTTTATATAATATCTCTTGTTGTTAACCTAAATTATTAGTGTTAAGAAGTTAGTGTACATATTGTATTTTTGTTTATATTGCTTACGTAATTACTTCTTATGTAAAACGGACCTTATAACAAAACAGTTACTTTTTCTTACAAGCTTCAAATCTCTATTTCTCATTTCATAAAGAAAAATATTAAAAATATCAAAATGACCTGCAAAATAAAAAGGTATTTTCCTGAAATTGTCAGTAGGGTATAAGTGTTGTTTAACACAATTGTGTAGATATCTAAGTCTCTGGTTGTTAAAGTTGTTGGTTTTATTCGACTGACACTTGTACATGGCTTATCTTATTAAATGTTACCACTGTTTTGTCATCATTCTATTCTAGAGTGTTGTGAAAAGGTAAAAAATGAACTATTATCTTAACTATGTTCAAACTTGCATTAATCTATGGATAAATAATTCTTAAAATCATTACTGAAAACATTGTTAGTCATGCCATACAATCTCATAATTAACAGCATATATGTTTATTTTATATATCTGTTTATGTGTTTGGTGCAGTTCCATTTTATGTATTTTTTTCATCGAGAAGATAGAAAAGAGTTAGTTAAGATGTGCTCTTATTTTGTTATGCAACATAAAAAAATGTACTTATTGTATATTTCCAGATATAATGTAATTATATTATCAATGTATTGTATCATGTTTCGTATATTGTTGAGACTGCCATATTGTTAATAAGTTGTTAATGCCATATTGGATTTTAGATAGTTTTTGACCAATGTCATAATAATTATATAATACAGAAAAATAAAAAAAAAATATTTCAAATATCAATGTCTTATTTAATGTTAACGTTTTATCTGCAACAAGTAAATTTTGTTATTATTAAAATGAAAATGTCCTGGTACAAGACTTTTTCAATTTTATAAGAGAGAAGGTTTGCAAGCGGTCGGATAGCTCAGTTGGTACAGCTGCGGAAATTTTCCGAGGATCCGCAGTTCTAATCAATGACATTTTTCTGACCTCATCCTGTGAGAAAAACATACATGTATTTAGATAGTAGATTCTTCTAATGGAACTTGCATGGCCAAGTTTAGTTGATATTTCTGATGCCCAGGTGGTTGAGGTTTCTAATAGCCAAGTCGTTTAAGTTTCTGATAGTCAAGTGGTCGAGATTTCTGATTGTCATATGGTTGAGCTTTCTGATGGCCATGTAGTGAAGGTTTCTGATGACCAAGCGGTTGAGGTTTCTGATTGCCAAACGGCTGAGGTTTCTGATGGTCAAGTGGTTACGGTTTCTAATGATCAAGTGGTTAAGGTTTCTGATGGCCAAGTGGTTAAAATTCTGATAGCCGAGTTGTTGAGATTTCTGATGGTCAAGTGGTTGATGTTTCTAATGGCCAAGTGGTTAAGGTTTCTGATGGCCAACTGGTTGAGTTTTGTGAAAGGAAAGTGGTTGGGGTTCAGATAACCGAATAGTTGAGTTTTGCGATGGCCAAGTGGATTAGGTTTGTGATGATCAAGTGGTTGAGGTTTATGATGGTCAAGTGGTTTAGGTTTATGATGGCCGAGAATTTGAGGTTTTTGATGGCCGAGTAGTTGAGGTTTATGATGGCCGAGTAGTTGAGGTTTGTGATGGCCGAGTAGTTGAGGTTTGTGATGGCAAAGTGGTTGAGGTTTGTGATGGTCAAGTGGTTGAGGTTTTTGATGGCCAAGTGGTTGAGGTTTTTGATGGCCAAGTGGTTGAGGTTTTTGATGGCCGAGTAGTTGAGGTTTATGATGGCCGAGTAGTTGAGGTTTGTGATGGCCGAGTAGTTGAGGTTTTTGATGATCAAGTGGTTGAGGTTTTTGATGGCAAAGTAGTTGAGGTTTTCGATGGCAAAGTGGTTGAGGTTTATGATGGTCAAGTGGTTGAGGTTTTTGATGGCCGAGTAGTTGAGGTTTGTGATGGCAAAGTGGTTGAGGTTTGTGATGGTCAAGTGGTTGAGGTTTTTGATGGCCGAGTAGTTGAGGTTTATGATGGCCGAGTAGTTGAGGTTTATGATGGTCAAGTGGTTGAGGTTTTTGATGGCCAAGTAGTTGAGGTTTGTGATGGCAAAGTGGTTGAGGTTTATGATGGTCAAGTGGTTGAGGTTTTTGATGATCGAGAAGTTGAGGTTTGTGATGGCATGTGGTCAGACCTGGGGATGATTACATTGATCAGTAATTGATTTAATTACAATGACTTTCAGATTTTATTGTAATTGATTACAATTGATTTCTCAGACTTGCCTCTGTAATCAATTAAATTACAATTACTTTAAAAAAGTAATTGATTGATAATTGATTACATTCCATGTATAACTATAAACAGAAGTTTCTTAATGCTATTTAATATATACATTATATACACAAAGGATTTCCAGCTCATCAACAGTCATCAATTTAACACACTTTTAGTTACTGTCACATCACTTTGTCATATTTTAGCATTGTACTTTAGCTTCACCGTCTGTCAGTCAAACTGCATCTATCAGGACGGAAAATTTTACCCGCAGCACTAAACAAACGCTCTGCAGAGGCCGATGATGCAGGAATGGTCCTCAGTCTTCTTGGTGTAGGTTTCATAATGAACTCTCTGCAACAGAAATTTTGAAAAGTGTCAATTGTACAGTATGCTGTATACAGGTGTTAAAACATGTGTGAAAACAATACATTTTTATATGGGAATTCAAAGAGACAATAGACTTTACAAAGAAATTATCATTTTTTTTACAAACACTTTAATGATACATCAGTATTCATTATAATATAAACACATTGTCTATCACCTTACAAAATAACTGTTGCATATAATTAAAATATGGTAATATGCATCTGACATAAACTCTAGAATATACAATGTCAAGAAGTTATCTACATTGTTTGAAACTTTTTAAAACATGGTGTAACCAAAATATGTGAAACAAAATTTAACTTACCTTTATGTGGGTAATGAAATTTGAATGTGACTTAGTGTTTCCATTTATCTTCTTAGGGCACAATTTGCACTGTGCTGTCACATTTCCAGATGTTTCTTTAGGAAATTCAAAGACATCATATATCCAATTATTAGACATTTTGGTTAGAATACCAGCCAAACAATGATGTCTATCTTTCAGTTAGAATATGGTTAACTGTATGGATTAAAACTTATTTCTTCATTGTGAGTGATGTCTTAAAATGTCTCACTTGATATTTTACTACCTTAGTTAAACTGGAACATGTGAAATAAATCATTTGAATTTCAATAGTTTCATGTAAAATCTGAAAGTAATCAACATCAATCAAATTGTAATCATAATTACAGACTGAATTTAAGCTGCAATTGATTAATTACAAATAATGTAATCAATTTTGAGCAAGGTAATCAATTACATGATGATTACAGTGTAATCATGTAATCAATTAAAAAATCGATGAATACGATTAGTGATTACCCCAGGCCTGGCCACTTGGCCATTACAAACCTCAACATCTTGGCCATCACAAACCTCAACCACTTTGCCATCACAAACCTCAACTACTCGGCCATCAAAAACCTCAACCACTTGACCATCACAAACCTCAACCACTTTGCCATCACAAACCTCAACTACTCGGCCATCAAAAACCTCAACCACTTGACCATCACAAACCTCAACGACTTTGCCATCACAAACCTCAACTACTCGGCCATCAAAAACCTCAACCACTTGACCATCACAAACCTCAACCACTTTGCCATCACAAACCTCAACTACTAGGCCATCAAAAAACCTCAACTACTCGGCCATCAAAAACCTCAACCACTTGACCATCACAAGCCTCAACCACTTTGCCATCACAAACCTCAACTACTCGGCCATCAAAAACCTCAACTACTCGGCCATCAAAACCTCAACCACTTGACCATCACAAACCTCAACTACTCGGCCATCAAAAACCTCAACTACTCGGCCATCAAAAACCTCAACCACTTTGCCATCACAAACATCAACTACTCGGCCATCAAAAACCTCAACCACTTGACCATCACAAACCTCAACTACTCGGCCATCAAAAAACCTAATCCACTTGACCATCACAAACCTCAACCACTTGACCATCACAAACCTCAACCACTTGGCCATCATAAACCTCAACTACTCGGCCATCAAAAACCTCAACCACTTGACCATCACAAACCTCAACCACTTGACCATCACAAACCTCAACCACTTGACCATCACAAACCTCAACTACTCGGCCATCAAAAACCTCAACCACTTGACCATCAGAAACCTCAACCACTTTGCCATCACAAACCTCAACCACTTGGCCATCATAAACCTCAACTACTCGGCCATCAAAAACCTCAACCACTTGACCATCACAAACCTCAACCACTTTGCCATTCACAAACCTCAACTACTTGGCCATCAAAAACCTCAACCACTTGACCATCACAAACCTCAACCACTTTGCCATCACAAACCTCAACCACTTGGCCATCATAAACCTCAACTACTCGGCCATCACAAACCTCAACCACTTGACCATCATAAACCTCAACTACTCGGCCATCATAAACCTCAACTACTCGGCCATCACAAACCTCAACCACTTGACCATCACAAACCTCAACCACTTGACCATCACAAATCTCAACCACTTGACCATCATAAACCTCAACTACTCGGCCATCAAAAACCTCAACCACTTGACCATCACAAACCTCAACCACTTGACCATCACAAACCTCAACCACTTGACCATCATAAACCTCAACTACTCGGCCATCAAAACCTCAACCACTTGACCATCTAACAACTCAACCACTTTGCCATCACAAACCTCAACTACTCGGCCATCAAAAACCTCAACTACTCGGCCATCAGAAACCTCAACCACTTGACCATCAAAAACCTCAACCACATGCAGGCCTGGGGTAATCACTAATCGTATTCATCGATTTTTTAATTGATTACATGATTACACTGTAATCATCATGTAATTGATTACCTTGCTCAAAACTGATTACATTAATTGTAATTAATCAATTGCAGCTTAAATTCAGTCTGTAATTATGATTACAATTTGATTGATGTTGATTACTTTCAGATTTTACATGAAACTATTGAAATTCAAATGATTTATTTCACATGTTACAGTTTAACTAAGGTAGTAAAATATCAAGTGAGACATTTTAAGACATCACTCACAATGAAGAAATAAGATTTAATCCATACAGTTAACCATATTCTAACTGAAAGATAGACATCATTGTTTGGCTGGTATTCTAACCAAAATGTCTAATAATTGGATATATGATGTCTTTGAATTTCCTAAAGAAACATCTGGAAATGTGACAGCACAGTGCAAATTGTGCCCTAAGAAGATAAATGGAAACACTAAGTCACATTCAAATTTCATTACCCACATAAAGGTAAGTTAAATTTTGTTTCACATATTTTGGTTACACCATGTTTTAAAAAGTTTCAAACAATGTAGATAACTTCTTTACATTGTATATTCTAGAGTTTATGTCAGATGCATATTACCATATTTTAATTATATGCAACAGTTATTTTGTAAGGTGATAGACAATGTGTCTATATTATAATGAATACTGATGTATCATTAAAGTGTTTGTAAAAAAAATGATAATTTCTTTGTAAAGTCTATTGTCTCTTTGAATTCCCATATAAAAATGTATTGTTTTCACACATGTTTTAACACCTGTATACAGCATACTGTACAATTGACACTTTTCAAAATTTCTGTTGCAGAGAGTTCATTATGAAACCTACACCAAGAAGACTGAGGACCAT